GATGGTTGCCGTAGGTGTGTTATCAAAGGCCCCCTCAATGTCCAAAAATGCACATAGAGCTGTCTGCTTATCCTCTAGGGACCTTTCTGCCTTGTCGATCAGAGCTACTAAGGCAGATTCTGTGGATTTACCCTTTTGGTAAGCATGTTGGTTGCAGGAAAGTGGTCTAGCCACAAGATACCTTGTTCTAATGTGCTGATCGATTACTTTTTCCATTGTTTTTAATAGGAAAGAAGTAAGACTAATAGGTCTAAAGGATTTGGGCTGAGAGTAGTCGTTTTTACCGATCTTCGGTATAAAGATAACCTTGACCTTAGTCCATTGTTCTGGTATAATGCCCAAAGCAAAGCTTGCTCTAAATAATTTTACCAGATGCGGGATAAGGAGTTCCATGCCCTGTTGAAGCAGAGCTGGAAAAATTCCGTCTTCCCCTGCTGATTTAAATGGTTTGAATTTTTTCAAAGCCCATCTAATCTGGTTAGGCCTAAAAATGGTATTGACCATCTTCCAGTCGCAACTATTTGCCCTGTGGATGTAGTTTTCCTTTGGGTTTGATTCACTGCCGGTGACAGGGTACGATCCTGGGAAATGGGTTGCTCTTAAAAGTTCCAGCGTCTCCATCTCTGTGGTCGTGAAGGAATTGTCTCGCTTTTTTAAAAAGCCGAGAAAGATGTTTGGTGTCTTGGCAAGGACCTTGTGGATTCTCGCTCCTTTATGTGTTTGGGCGATATTCTCACAGAATCGTTTCCAAGATGCTCTTTTAGCTTTTCTGATCTCTTTGTGGTATTTAGTCAGAGCCTTCTTATACCGTTCCCACCCATACGGTGTAGTGGCCTGATTAAATAAGCGACGTGTGGAAACTCTAAGTCGTTCTAGCTTTTTGTTCCACCACGGAGTATTGTTGTTAACCTTAAGTTCCCTGACAGGACAGCTATTTTCATAGGCATTTAAGATGCCATCCGTTAATAAGTTGTTTAAAATGTTAAGGGAGTCGGGTGTCTTGATTGATTTTGGAAAATCCTTAGCTGCCTCAGCGAGCAGGTTTTTAAAATCTACCCACGAGGTGGCTTTGGGATTTCTAAGCCTTTTAGGCTCAGTAGTTATTGAGCCTTGTATGCTAAAGACAATATGTTTGTGATCGGACAAAGAGTTTTCATTACTGACATGCCATTTACTTATGTGTTTAGCGATTTGTTCAGTAGCAAAAGTGATATCCAGAACTTCCTGCCTAGCTCTAGTAGCGAAGGTTGGATTACAGCCTTTATTAAGTATTTGAAGGTCGTTAGCTAGGAGAAATTCTAAAAGTAACTCACCTCTTTTGTTGGTATCAGTACTTCCCCAGATTGTGTGATGGGCGTTTGCATCGCAGCCAACAATTAGTTCTGTCTTGTGTTTTCGAGCGTAGTCGACGACTTTAGACAGTTCTTCGGTGGGGTTGGCTTTCTCTCCGGGCAGGTAGGCCGAGCACACAAGTGCTCTAGTTTGACCACGCCCTCTGAGAACGGTGATTGCAGCAACGGTGTCATCACTGCAAAGTTCTGTAACAGGCAAGAAATTAATACCTTTCTTAAAAACGATACAGGCCCTAGGCTTGGTGCCATTTTCGTTTGCTAGGATCTTACCTACTCCATTTAAGCCCGAAATCTTGGACTTGGCGTTAAGCCATGGTTCCTGGACCAGCGCTATATCCATGCCATTTGCCCTAAAAGTGTTTTCTGCCACGGCTGTGGCAGCGATAGCGTGGTGTAGATTGGCTTGGAGTATTTTAGTGGGGGCGTCGCCAGTTGGGTGTGAAGCGCTACTGGGGACGGGCCCCATTGCGCTTGTCACTGCCCTTGCTGGGTCTGGGTCCCTTTTGTTTGCGGGGGCGCTGGCTCTTGCCTCTGGGGGTTTGTCCACCCCTGGTGTGCCCCCCTGTACGAGGAAACCTGTGCGGAGTACCAGTCGCTCCGCTGGTCCCGGCCACAGGAGCCACGCCAGGTGCAGCAGATGGTAAAGGCGCAGCAACGCTGGCGCTTGCTCCAGCAGCCGCGGCCCCAGAACGAGAGGTAGACGGCACAGGTTCAGAGGGAAGTGTCCCAGGATTCGTTGGCGTCTGGTTGATGCCCTTAATACGGAACTGGACCGATTTGAAAGCCAAGTAGGCCTTCATGCCGGTTTTTTGAAGGGTCTCAACAGATTGGTCGTCGATGGAGAGGGTGAGTGTGATCCCGCCCTTCTCCGCCTTCCTATTGAGAACCTTCCACAGCTCCGTATTAAGGCCATCATTTTGTATCCGGAGACAGGAGAGCGCCTTATCAACGTCTTTGGCCTCCGGATCGGGAATGTATACCACCCCAACCCTTGGTTTGGGCAAGTCGCTCTCATTAATGAGAGCGAGCTTAGCTCCTGGCCACGGCTGTAAGGAAGGTATACATTTCTCAAGCCATTCCCTGGCATGCTGGTTAGCACAGGTGATGAGTAGCCAACCCGGCTTGAATGATAGTCCGCCAAAGGCAGGTCCCTTACCCTTCTCCAAAGTGGTGATTTGGGCCACAATTGCGTTGTAGAGTGACTGCAGCTGTGCGTCAGTCATGGGAGTGGAGTCCCTCACGCCAACTTTGGAGGAAGATAAGGCCGCACTATAGGCAGCTGGAGGTGGTGGGGCCGACGGTGCTTCGCTCGACCTTTGGGACTTCCTCGCTGGTTGTCCCTGTGGCGATTCCTCCTCCGAGCGAGTCCTTTTGATGGAGCGCTCGGATTCGGGTTTCGAAGCCTCGAAACGATACCCCATAGCCCTGAGTTCCGCAAAGGTTTTAGCGGACAGTTCGTAGGCTTTTGCAGCCTCCACTCCCTGTCCCCTAAGAGCCTTAAGTCGGATTAAGGCTGCCCCACTCAATCTTTTGCGTTTGGGTCGGGCAGCATCAGAGGAGGTGGCAGCAGGGTTACCAGTAGGTGATTCAGGGCTTGTAGAAGCCCCTATCGCCATTTCGGTGCCTGCAGTCACCTCCATTGGTTGCGCTGACATTTGGGCGGTTTCATCCGCACCCATTGTCAGCGGCATGAGGTCCTGGCACAATTCGTCCAGGGTTTGTGACGTGGTAACGTCATTTACTTTTTTATCTTTTTGGTCCATATTCATTCAGGTCCCACGAGTAGCTAGGGAAATAAAAATGCCCACCGACAGAGCCCCGCATGTCGATGGGAGGACTTAAAATACTACCCGATTCGTCCAGGTGTCGGATAGCCACCGTTAGCGACTGAGCTCCCCCCCAGCCACGCATCCCTCGGCACGGTACGAATAACACCTTGGATTGGGTTCTAAACTAAAGCTATACATATACGTACATATATATTTCATAGATACACTTACATAGACATACATAAACATACATATATAAATAAAAGTGAAAGCAAGCGCTCGGTGTTTTCTGTTGCGTCTATTTCCTAGTGAACTAGACCAATAACAGGGCTGGCAACCTCGTGAAGGATAGTACACCGAACTTGCCTTGGGGATCTTTGCGACAAAAGCGTCACTCTCCCCCAAGACCAACGCCACCCTACCGTCTCTGAAGGAGACAGTAGGGTAGGCCTGCGCCTACACTACCATGCGAAGCATGTCGTAAGGGAACCGTGAAAGCATAGATCCAGGCCCGCCCCCATTCGTTCGCATCGTTTATTACAATCGAGTCAAAAACCCCAAAATAAGTGCCTGAACATTCAATATATTTTTGTAAAATCTTAAAAAATTACTAAGTTTTTACAGTTTTACTGTACAATATAATAGATCTGTATTCCTATGTCGTTTAGTAGGTACCATCTAAAAACATACAATCCAAACGATAACACTACACTAAAGGCACGTTCTGTTAGGATTAACTATTATATCTTTATATATATAATTCTTCTGTGAGTGTGTATGTCACTGAACTTCTCTCAAACGACTGGACCGATTTTGATGAATTTTTTGTGTGTGTTCAAGGGGATCTGGGAATGGTTTAGATTCACAATTTGAATAATAATTTTCATCAAAAATATTATTAAAAAAAGTTTGAAATTTTCAAATTAAAGACGTGTAGACAGGACAACGTCTGTCGGGTCCGCTAGTATATATATACACACAGACACACATATATATATATATATATATATATATATATATATATATATATATATATATATGTGTAGGTATTATGACAAAAAAAAAGAGTTATTATATGTAAGTAATGTTTTTAAGGAATTATAAGATAACATAGCTGGAGATGTCTACCAGTAATTTTAATAAAAAAATCAAGCACATGTTGAAGTATTTTTAGGAACAGAAGAACTTCAATAAATGATTTTGCGAACTCAAGTGTGAAATGAAATAATGTGACCAATTTAAATTTTGAACACGCTGTTATTTGTAATTACTAAATATATTTTGTTATTAAAATTTACATACATACTTTATTTTAAAATATTTTATTTAATAAATCATAAAAAAGGACTGATAGTATGAAGTTACAACCTTTGACATATACCCAAAATAGTTTAAGAAAGGTAATGAAGTAAATATAGACAATTTTCTGTTTTATTCATAACTAAGATTTTAAGGTATAGCAACTTACACATGGCAACACTGCTGTTGTCATTTGTAAGTAATGGTTGACATTTATTTGACAGTTAACATGCGACAGTCAAGTGTCAACTATCAATGATTTATGATTGCTATTCGTTGCCTTGCCTGCACTCTGTAGCTGCACTCATTACTTCTGAATTCTGATCGCCGGTTTTAGACAGCTAGGCTCTTTTATTAATCATACTTATATGATTTTTGAAATAAATAAATCATTGTATTAAAACAATCATCTTTAATGATATGATTATTGCTGTGAAATAATATTAAGTATTAAAAATATAAGCCGAAATACCGTTGTCTTTGTAGTAATTACTGAGTCACGGTTACTAGTGTTTTCCTATATGAAATAATTATATAATAGCCTGTGTTTGAATAACAACATCGTCTTCCAGTGAAAATGATGAATAAACTGAAATTATTATGGTCGAAAACCAACCGATGGCATCGAGGTAATTTCCTTTGAATTTCTATTTATTGATTTAATTTTACGAACTAGAGATTGATTGAGAGCTATAAAGAATGTATATTAATAGCTATAGTACAGTAAAAGCTTTAGAAATTATTAAAAGCTGTATATACTTCATATTTGTGCCTACAAAAATTATACTAATGAAAATTTGTATTTTTATTTTTAATTTCATTTTAATGAAATAACAAAAAATCCTAAAAAAGCAGGACTGGCCGGACGCCATTTAATTTGGCTGCACACACAACCAAATAGCCTGACTGTGCTCATTCAGCTTTATCAGGATGCCTGGCAACGCTATGTGTATTGTATGTACTCTAAAGGACTCCTGTGAGAATGTACATATGTTTCTATGATATACAATACAGAGATCACTCTGTATTAGAATTTTATTATATGTATAGATTGTAACTAAGCCGAATCTGTACATTACATATTTTTTAGAAAACCTTATTGAAATAGGCATTATTATCGATACAGAGGCCGAATCTATAGTTCTTAGAATTTTTATCTGTCTGTCTGTTACCGCATCACGGAAAGGCCACTGGAGGGATTTTGATGAAATTTGGTATGATGGAAGCTGGTTATCCGGGTCAACATATAGGATACTTTATACTACGGAAAATATCTCATCTCTGAGAAATCTATACTAAACGTTAAAACGTAACTAGGAACGAACCCGAGCGGGTTGCTAGTTTTAAGTAATTTTGAAGTTATTTATGTACTTTTCTAAGTAATAAGTATTTTATCTTCCAGTCCTCTTCATATTTTTGATTGTGGAGATGAAAGTCATTCCAGGAGGGCAGGTTGGGTTTCAATGCAATGATCCAGCATTATCCCACCCTTATACAGGAGACACTATCAATTGGAAATGGTTAATGGGAATCACAATGTTTTTACCATTTGTTGTGGTATGTATAACTAGCAGTTATGACTATTTTTGTATATATTCACTATTTAAAGCAATTTCTTGTTAAGCATTATGCCTATGCTTTATAAAATCATCTTAATAATATTTTAATATTATAAAATTATCTTAGTAAATGTATTATTTTATAATGTATTCTTTATTCACTTAACAAAGCAAAAAAGTTAATAAAGTACATTGAATGTTTCTCAAGTAGTGTATATTTACATACAGATAAGCCAGCAGCAAAATTAAATAAAACCTTTTTTTAATTTAGTATGTCTTCATTCTTTATTTGACAATGGCAAACATTAATTAGTCTTTTACGATTTATATTAATATTATAATTTACAAATGTAACAGTCACTTTTGTTTGTTGCCTTTTCACATTTAACTTCTAAACAGATTTTGATGGAATGACATATATTGTATAATGAGGATAGACATACATACTCGTCTACATTTTAGCCCCTAGCCTCGTACACAATGAGAAAGACTTCAGAACCCAATAGCTCCAACAAAAAACTAGTGTTTACCATAATAATTAATGTACAATTAAAATTTAACTTAATAATACAACAATATTCGAAACATCTATTACCCCTACGTACCTTTTAATTTTTTTGAGCAGAGCTCTAATTCTTTTTTTTTCTAAAATGAAAGTGGTCTAAGTTACTCCTTATAACATCAGCTATCTGCCAGTGAAAGTCCCGTCAAAATCGGTCCAGCCGTTTCGTAGATTATCCAGAACAAATATTGAACTGTAGGTATAGATTATGTAGATAACTTTTCATTATGATTTAGGTGTCAGAATCAAGCTGTGAATAATTTATGCTTTTTCTTTAAAAGTTTTTTTGTAGTTATAAAATGTAATTAAGTACGGAAATTAATTTATATTTTTATATCATATGATATTTTTATTATAATTATAATTGCTTACTTTGAGCATGTTATAGTAATCATCATTAATATATAAAACTGAAGGGTTTTCTTGTTTGTTTGTTTAACAGCAATGATCTCCAGAACTACCAGTTCACTTTGAAAATTTCTTTACTCAATTTTGCTGTTATTTTTGTATCTTACCACGATACCTCTGTCAATTGTAAATCGATATTCAATATTTGCAACCGACTTCAAAAAGGAGGAGGTTCTCCATTTGACTGTATGTTGTTTTTTTTTTATGTTTGTTACCTCAGAACTCCGTCATTTATTAACCGATTTGAACAATTTTTGTGTTGTTTGAAAGTGTATACTTCCAGATTGGTCCCATTTAAATTTCAAAAAAAAAAATACCACCCCTAAGGGTGGAAAAATAGCTAATGGTGAATTTAACCTACTTCTAATTGTCATATTGACTTGAAACTTTGCAAGTGTTTCTATTTCTGTTGATAGTACAGTGGTTCAGTATTGTTGACCTGATCTGATGCCAGAAGGTGGATAGGTGGAATTCTTTAACGGCTAATAGTAGATACTTTGAGTTTGGGCTTGTTTTGTTTGATTTGACAAGCCGAATATATTTGATTAGGTATGTATAGTAAATGAAAACTACCAATCAGTGCTTTTGTTTGAAGTCGGTTTTTATTTCTTTGTTATTTATAAAAAAAGTCTGCAGTGATGTTCTTATATTAGACCAGGGTAGAAGCCTTTAAAAGTAATAAAAAGTGAAAAAAAAAATAGTAGGATGCAACCCATTCAAAAAATCAAAAACCAAAAACTTGGATTTTGATTTTTTCACATAAATTTTGAGGTTATGTGAAAAAAGTGTAAATACAAAAGTTTTAGATATTTTTATTACCTACAATTTTGCCATATGAAATTTTCGATAGGACTTTTAGTTTTGCCGGAAATCGAGAAAACCCGTTTTTTACCCTTAAAAACTTACCCCCATCCCCTTCCCGACCTCAGATCGCCCGTAAATTATTTTTCCTTTCATTTTTATAATATTCCCCTCCATTTCTAATGGGTTTCATCCTACTATAATTTTTTTGGTTTTAAAAATTGTCGACCCTGGTCTATATAAATTACTAGCGGCTCACCCTCGCTTCGCTCGGGTTCGTCGCTAGGTACGTTTTAAATAGATATAAAAAGAAAAAATCTTTCTTTCTCACATTTTAATTATATGTTTTAATACTTACCTATTCCGGACTAAGAGAAATCCAAAAATTAAAATATCATAAAAATTGGAACGCGGTCGAACGGGATAAAAAGTATCCTATGTCCTTCTCCTGGCTCTAAACTACCTCCCTGCCAATTTTCAGCTAAATCGGTTCAGCCGTTCTTGAGTTATAAGCGAAGTAACTAACACGACTTTCTTTTATATATATAGATTATTATTTATAAATTCCAAAGTTTATATTATTTCTTATTTTTTACAGATGTTTATAGTAGAGAAACAGCTAGATAAATCAAAAGACGTGCAACAAAACGCACTGCAATGGTACAAAGAGTATTTATATGGGTTCTTAATTAACTTAACAATAGTTCAAAGTATGAAATTCATTGTTGGGTCTCCGAGGCCCCATTTTTTTGACACTTGCAGCCCAAAAGAAGCTTTAACTTGTGAAACGTGAGTATTGCAGACATAACTTTACGTATACTAGAGACTCACCCTCGCTTCCCTCAGGTTCGTCCGTAGGTTGCTTTTCCATACAAACTTTCATCCCCATTTTCACCCTCTTAAGGGACGATTTCCGGAATAAAAACTATCCTATATCCTTCCCAGGGTCTCAAACTATCTTCTTATCAAATTTCATCTAAATCGGTTCAGTAGTTTCGGAGCCTATTCGGTACAAACAAACAAACAAACAAACAAACAAAAGATCAAGTCTTTCCTCTTTATAATATTAGTTGTAGGTAGTTATATACTAAACAAATAAAAATAAATAAAAAAGCTTATTTTTATAATCTTTAAATCTTTACTAAGTGTTGCTATAAAAATAATAATAGGTAATATATCAAGCTACAAATAGACACTTAAAATACATTAATGTCTATAGTATTCTATTACATAATACAAGCCGTTTTTAAATCGAAATCCATTTTTGTGAAATAATTTTCTGACTTAATACACAATTTTTTTATCTCTAATTATATTACGTTAATATTTTCATATATTTCAATAGCTTTATTAATTATATCCGACTTTTCTGTATACTTTATATTTTCTAAAATTAAACTGCTACTTGATAAAAGTTTTTCACACTCATTTAATTTATTTTCTATGATATTTCCCGTAAATCTTTTTTTTACCCGATTTTATTAAGTATTTCTTTATATCAATTAAAGAGTTATATATTAAACATAATTTATCTGTCATACTAAATCTTAATAATTATAATAAACATCAAATCTTAAAATAGCACATAGTAACATTACTGACAATAAGATACCTAAGTACATCGTGTAATTTGAGCGGGAATGGAATGTCACATCTTTCCTTCTCGGGCGGCGCGTAACATATTTGCGAGTTTACACGCGCCGAATATAATTATGCACAGTTTAAACACTTACGTGGATCACAGTTTAAGGACGCACTTACACACTTTTTTTTTCATTTAGTCACCTCCTTTGTTCTATGATTTTTGAGAACGGCCGCGTCGAATCATACTTGTAGCTCGTTGTAGTGCCAATGAATTAACTTCTTCCCGAATCCATCGCCTGTGGCATCGCTTGTAAACCTTATAAGCTCCGATGCTAGCCGCCAGCAATACAATCAACACCACAATTCCCATGAAAATGTTAGATATTCCGATGCTGGATTTTAATTCTTCTATGTAAGCTTGGTTGGCAGCTGATCCAGCAGCATTTTGTCCAATATTTATATTTTCTTTTAACTGCGATGACTGACAGACACATCTTGGATTTACGTAGAACAATAGGGCAGAAAAACAGGTCTCTTCAGCAGGGTCGCCATCAAATGTGGTATGTTTTAGAGGTTCCAAAGATAAACGTCTTCTTAGGTTCGAGACATATTTAATAATCAGAATATAATAAGTAAATTTATAATGAAGCTTAGCTTAATGGGTGGTCGACCATATATGGATGATACATGAGAGATTGATGATACATTACTAAAGTATGGCTTACAGTACTTAATGCTATACTATCACTATACTAATGTTATACTATATTATGCTATATTATACTATACTTAATGTATAAACATTTTATACTTCATTATCTAATTAGTGTTGCAACAATTATAAGTCACGCAAATACACTGCTTATTTACGGTTGTACGGTTATGGTTGTGTTTTCGAGTTTAATTCTGGTTAAGGTTTATTTTGGTTTTATTTGGAACTAGTAACCTGACTGACTTTGTTATATACAAACATCAATTTTGTTCATATATTTAAGTTAATAGAAAATTTTATAGAAAAAAATACTTTTTCTCGAATTCCCCAATTTTTTGGGCAACTGTTTCGATTTTACTAAAAATGTTGTTTACGCTATAACAATCATTTATAAAAGATTCTCAAGTGATGAGCTTACCAACTTATAGAATTGCATTTTTGTGCACATTGAATTTATCCATAGCAATTTTACTATGTTCATAACCAGTCCGATGAGCAGATGTTAAAAAAAATTAATAAGTAAATTATAGAATTACTTAAAATTTTCATAATTTGTAATGCATGAGAAAGAATCAAAGTACGGGAATTGTGCTTAGCGTAGTAGTATATATAGTCATATAGATGATGAGATGGGAACAAAGTTTTTGAAAGTGCACTGCTATTTTTAAGCTAGTTTTACCCATGGCTTATCTCGCTTAGTACCTACATCTATAGAATATGTTTTTCAGGGTGGCTTTCTGTTTCTGAAAAAAACCCTTTTTTTCTATTTAGGATCTTTTATATTTTTCCCCATAATTATTATAACATTATAAAGTTTTCGCCAAGTTAAAAGATAATATTACAATTTTTGATAACCGTTTTTATATGACGAGTATTATTTATTTATTTATTCAAAATAATTGTTAAAGAACGTTTGTGCTATGTTTGTGCTTGCTAAAGGCTATTATACAATAAATGATTTTATAGAAGATGGCACACCTTGGGAATGAAATGATCGCCTCCAAGCTGCTTCAACTAGATAGAAATATTGTAAATTATAATTTAACTTTATAAAAAAAGATAATGAAATAGTATTAGTCATGCTGAGTTTCTTTCGCCAGTTCTTCTTAGGTCTGAGGCTTTTTCTTTCCAAACTGGTACTAGACTCATGACGTTGAGTAAAAAATTGTAATAATTTAATGCTGAATAAAATATTTTGAATTTTATTTTTGCTTGATCAAAGATAACGTTAACAAAAATAAATTTAAAGCAATCTTAATAATTACATAAAATTTATTTTGCTTAAAAAATATATTATTTTAATTAAAATGCTAAATATCTATTATAATAATATTGGAGAGAGATGTTCGTCAGTATGTTTTGTTTGTTTACAAACGCTGATCTCTGGAACTGCCAGTCAAATTTGAGAAAGTGAGTCTGTTATACATACGTACCTACACAGATAAATTGAAGTGTCTGTTTGTAATGTCAAAATAACACCTTTTTACTAAATGCATATGGAATTATATACGGTATTTATAAGAAAAACACATTTTTTAAATTTTGTCCGTCTGTCTGTTTGTTCCTGCTAATCTCCGAAATTGCTGGGTCGATTTTGACGGGACTTTTACTGGCAGGTAGTTGATGTTATAAGAAGAAACTTAGGCTACTTTTATTTCAGTAAAAGAATTAGGGTTACGCTCAAAAAAATTAAAATGTACTTAGGGACGAACAAGAGCAATGCGAGGGTGAGTCGCTAGTATAGAAATAATTTCATGATAAACGTCTACTTCATTTTCTGCTAGATCCGAGTTCATATCAAGTTACACATGCACGAAGGCGTATTGGTTGAGTCAGTCGGATAGAAGCTTTCCCTCGGGACATACGTCGTTGGCTGTACACGCTGGAATATTTATCGCTGTGAGTACTATAATGCTATTTTACACTATACAGATAAATAAAATTGAACTGTCTGTTTTTAATGTCAAAATAACAGCGTTTTACTAAATGCATATGAAATTATATACGGCACTTTTCCTATAGGAAAAACAATTATTAAAATTTTTGTTTGTCTGTCTGTTTGTTTGTTCCGGATAATCTCTGAAACGGTTGGACTGATTTTGACGGGACTTTCACTGGAAGACAGCTGATGTTATAGGCAGTAACATAGGGTATTTTCATTTTAGAAAAAGAATTAGGATTTCGCTCAAAAAAATTTAAACGTACCTAGGGACGAACCCGAGCGAAGCGAGGGTGAGTCGCTAGTTTAAATAAAACTATCTTTTCGGATGATTTCGCGGATTCATTTTGATTTTTGGTTCCCGACGTTTAGAATGCTTTACAGCAATCATGGTCACGGGAGTGAGTAGAGAGTTATTATATTTATAGATTTAACCGTTTCCTGTCCCATGAGTCATATATGAACATTTCGATTGTTTAACTATTTTGTCTATTTTGCGGACAGTTAATCTGTTAATATATATCTTTAGTTTAGACTAGTAATTGAACCTTGCTTCGCTCGGGTGCTTCCCTAGTTACGTTTTGATTCTTTTGAGCGGAACCCTAATTCTTTTTCAAAAATATAAGTAGCCTTAGTAACTCCTTATCAGCTACCTGCCAGTGACAGTCCCGTCAAAATCAGTCCAGCCGTTTTGAAGATTAGCCGGAACAAACAGACATACATTTTTTTTTAAATTGTGCCTTTCTTAGTACCGTATATAATTTCATATGCATTATTAAAAATCTGTTATACAAACAGACCCTTTAATTTTATTCCTTTTGTATAGATGACTTAAAGATTAGTTGTGCATCAAAGGCCCAATGTAAAGATTGATAAGGCAAACACCATTTAAGAAAAATATAGTTGATACGTTTTAATTCGATTAAATCAAAGTCTAGACTTTTTATTAATTATTTAATTAAGTGTTCTATTTATTATATAACACAAAATTTGAGAATGATCAGTTGAAGTTATTGAAACAAAAAATAACTATATGTACTTTCTCTTTCCCACAAGTGTTTCCAATCTAAAAACCCCAAATACTTAATAAGAAATACTATATTTAAATAAAGTATGTATTACATTGTACTTCAACAAATATGAAAGACAGGGTTGCGATTCGTGCAAAATTAGCTTATAAAGTGTCAAACAATTTTGACGGACGTTCTAAAAAAATGTAACCACTTCAATATAACCCATTTTTTTACAATTTTATTTCATGGATTGTTTATTGTGTGCATACGTATTGAGTAGTTAATATAATATAAAAAAAATGTAATTCGTGCCCAGTACTATCTCCAGCAAAGGGCCCACACATTGGACTCGCGGTTCATCAGGACGGTCCAACTGCTGTCCATATGAAGTGCCCATCACTATGAATGCTTTTTATATATTATTTTAGCTTATCTGTGATCTCAAAATTAATTTATAACCGTTTCCAGTACTATCTTCACCAAAGGGCCCATAGATTGGACTCGCGGTCCATCAGGACGATCCAACTGCTGTCCATATTCAGTGCACTGTTCTGTGCCGTATCCCGAATGATGGACCATAGACATCACTGGTGGGACGTGCTCGCCGGCGCGGGGCTGGCTCTGCCTGTGCTGGCGTACACGGTGAGTGACCCCTTGATCTAGCAACTTGTCCACTCTTTATGTACTTCCGAGGTGCTTTCGTATTTATAACGTTTAGTATAGATTTCTCAGAGATGAGATATTTTTCCGCAGTAAAAAGTATCCTATATGTTGACCCGGATAACCAGCTATCGTCATACCAAATTTCGTCTAAATCGGTCCAGTGGTTTCCTCCAGACAGATAGAATTTTTTTTTATAGATTCGGCCTGTGTATCGGTAATAATGACTCTTTCAGTATGATTTTCAAAAAAATATTTGATGTACAAATTCGACTCAGAATTTTATTATAATGTGTAATTTAAGATGAACGTAAAGGTTGCCAGGAAGAAATCCCTGTTTTATCGATAAGCCGCAGATCTGGTGCATTTTCCTACCACTGTATTGTTTTTGTCTCCTTTTTGTGTACTATAAAGAGTTTATATTATTATTAAAATGAAGTTCCTTATCGCACGTTATACTCCCCACACTTGCCTAAACTGCTAGACGGAAGTAAGTGGACTATTTCGACCGTCACGACACTTTTTTTACCGACTTTAAAAAGAGAGGAGTTACTAATAATAATAATCATTTCTTCGCATATTTTATTACTAACAGTAACCTACATGGTACATAAATTTACACCCACCTATACAAGCTTTCGCGATTATAATACAAGTGTAATTTTATAAGAAATGTGTGCAGTGTGCTATGCCGTATGTACGTACACTCAGTCGAATGGTAAAGTTCACACGTGATAGTAGAAGTGCAAGACCAGGGTTTGAACCCACTTCACTTTTTAAAGATCTAACATTATAACTATTATTATTATTTGTTTAAACATAAGATCACCTTACACTTAACCAATATTTTTATTAAATATACTGTCTCTTTCCAGATTCACTCTTTATGTAAGAATTTTCAATGCATTGCACCTAAAGGTGGGACTGAAAGTCACAAGGAAGAAAATGGCGTAAACGAAAACGATATACAAACATAATAATTTATATACAATAATATTTTTATACGACGCACCCAAATAAGATTAGAGAATAAGTTTTACCTAATAACATAGGTAAGTATTATAATGTGTTGCTAACTTCAAACAAAGGTAAATGCATATTAATGCATAGTTCAGAGTTAAATGGCGATAATTATTTGAATTTTTTTTTAATTTGTTTTTTTAATAAAGGTCTCGATTAAATAATAAAAATATTATGACCTTATTTATTAGGGTGGAGCGAAAAAAAATTTTTTTACTTAGCTCGGGGGTAAAATTTGTAGCTTATAAAAAAACAAAACTTTGAAATAAAAAAAAAATTACTCAACATTTCGTAGTGGCTCACTGATTTTTAAAATAATAAATTTAAATTTTTGATTTGAATGAAAAGTTTATTTGATCATCTTTGTAAATATTCAAGAATTGACGAATATAGAAATTTTATACAACAACTGCTTCTCAACTTTCAATGTAATTACAAAAAAAGTAACATGTTTTTTTTAACTTTTTTTAAAATTGCAATAATACAATATTACAGTGAAAAAGATCTATATTCATACGGTTTGATTTGAATTTGCCAAATTTTGATATAATATATCAAATACATATATTATACCAGTGTTTAGAAACATTTTTGTTATTAAGAATATAAGTCACAATCACGTGATACAAAAATACCAATTATTTCTTAGATTATATGGACTACTTTCGTTTGAAGTTATGCAAGAATAAAAAAATAAATGGACCCGAACCGCACTTAGAAGCTTTTTATAAATGTTATATTCAACTTGAGAACAACTTGTAGTTTTGATAATAATATATAATTATTACGTATGTGAAATTATATGTTGGTTTATCCTACTTTTACGCAGCAATCGAGACTTTTAACCGACTTCCAAAGAGGGCTGAACGTATAGGATACCACGATCGGTCGTAGGCAGTGGTAGCCCAGTGGTAACGCGCTCACTTGTAAAACCAAGTGATGCGGGTTCAAATCTCGAGTTTCGTGGGATATTTTCATGTGCGAATCATTTCCAATATGATAACCACTTTTTTTATGACGCTGGGGAAACCCATCATGGGGACCCTGCCGGCCGTCAATGGGCAGGGTACTGTAAGAATCCTACTCACTAAAACCCACAGCGGAATCCGTCGCCGTAGTGCAATGGGGCGTTGTAGGGTCGCTTGTGCACACTATTATCTCATTCCCACGGGAAAACACATTATAATACAACCCACAATAGCTCATCATACCTATGTATATATAGTCTATCTATTCCATACTAACCGTCAAAACGTACCTAGGGACGAACCCGAGCGAAGTGAGGGTGAACCCCTAGTTATTCATAAATTATTTATAGCGCGAAGAATTCATTATTTGTGAATATAATATTATTTAAGATATCTAAAAGTATTTTATTTTATATCTTTAATTATTACTTGACTGCCTTAAGAAGGTGTGTTTTGTATATTATGTTTTTTTGGCACGCTCTGTAGCTTGTAACTCTTGATGGACATTAAAAGCCATTTACATAGACTTTCTCATGAAGGCACGAATATCGAAAGAATGTAAAAATCTGAACTCAAATACATTGTATTTTACAACACTGTATTTGTAGTACATTTAATTCAAAATTGATTAATGTTGCTATTTTTAAATAAAAGTATTTTTTCGTGTTTTTGTTCCCATCTTTTTGAATGCTCTTTTATTTTATAGTCTTTCGATTTTTGTATTATCTGTAAAAGAAAGTGGCTTTAGCCATTATTGATATACAAAAACTCATGATACACAATTAGTCTCAAAAGTGTCCTCAAAAAGAAGCGCACCATTCGAAATTCTGCGCTTTTTTCAGATCTCTTGTTCATTGCTTTTTACATACATATACATAGACATAATTAAAATGTATTTTGTTTCGTTTAAAAAAGTACTTTATGTGGTGTGCGTAAGTACGAATTTGTGTTTAGACACATAACTTTTGATCTTTGAAATTTTATTTTTTGTTTTGACTTAACGTCACACGTCGATGCCACTTTTTGAAGAGATATTTGTAATTAAATCTGTATCTATATTTTTATATAAATGGCTTTATCATGTGAAATGAAATTAGGTCCATATTAATTGTGATAGCCTATAAATAAATATGGATTTTTTTATGTTATTGTGGTTTAATGTAGTGCATATTTACTTCCTAGTCAATTTTGTGCGATTGTGTTGTGATACTTTTCATCGCTTTAACTTATTTTGCATTCTAGTTATTGAAATTCTCATGTGAAACATTCCTTAGTTCTTTTAGTGTATAAGCATACTTTCATTTATAATAAGGAACACATTTTGTTTGTAGAATGTTTATTTTTATATATTATACAATAAATATTGGGAATTGAATAATTGTTTATTTTTTACATTTACTTAAAAAAACATTAACATTTTGGACTTTATATAAATACTTAGTGAAAATAATTGAATCGCCACAAATAAGATTAATATTTATAAGTTAGTTCAAACAAAAAAAATCAATAGATGATGTTATGAATGGATTTCTTATGAAAGTGATGTTAACACCTCCAAGTAAATGTCTAAGAAATTAATTAAATTAATTAAAATTGCGTAATTTTATTGAAATATCAGAAATCATATTATTATGAGGTTGTAGTGTTAGATAGATAGCGTTTTTCATTTTTATGAATTATTTGTCACGGTTAAAAATTGTTATAATCAGTTTTTTTCGAATGCACAATGAATTTTATAATATTTACCATTCCTTAGTTTGAACATATTTATAAAATAAAAAAGTTTAACTATTTGCGAATGAACTACATTTATTATCTATTCAAGTGAACAAAAATAGCCCGAGTTAGCGCTTACACTTTCATTATATGGGATGAGGCATAAAAAAATTTGGGATATAAAAAAATAAAATAAAAAAACCAAAATATTTTATTCAATATTTATTTATCACCATAGCTTAAAGAAATAAATAAAAAACAGTGTTATAAGCAAAAGCAAAAGTCTCGTCATTGAGCACAACTTAGAAAAAATAAATTCAGGTCACAGTTCCCTAGTTTCACATTTAACAAAAAATAATTGATAGATTTATACAACCATGATAATATAAATCCAATGGTTGTATTCTGAAAATAACCGAAATAGCTAGCAAGAGTGATAAAAGTATGAGAAATTTGGTTAATCAATGAATTTTATTACTAAAATGAGAATAGTTTAATTTAAAACATTGGAGATTATCAACATTGACGTATAAAGCGAGAAATACAATTATAATACAAACTGTTATTATATTTAATAATTGAGTATACATACTCATATGTAATGAAAATTGATTAAATGTTCAAAATATCCAATTAATGTACAAATAGTTTTATAATGAAAACATTTTTTTTTTTAATTTCTTCCAAAGTAACAAAAAGCTGTCATCTTTCGTACAAAACAGTTATCATAACAAATCAATTATGTAAGCTTCATAAAATAATTTATTACTTTACTCCATCATGAGCTTATAGATCTTAAGTTACATAAAGAAAATGTGTATGAAATGCTCGATTTCAAATTGGACGTAGTCACGGCAGCCCACGAAAACAGCTTTTGAGTTACCGTCATAAATGCCACCTACATATCAACTAATATACAGAAACTAGATAGAATACCCAATATTTAAGAGGAATTAAAAAAAAACTACGATCTTGTTATTTTGATATACCAATTTTACTAAAAGTACTATTTTGTCAAATGTAAGTTTTTTAGTTGGATCTATTTTGCTTGTATTCAGCCCTTTCTAACATCCCACTGCTAGGGGTGGGCCTCCCTTCAATACAATGGGGATCAGGCCATAGTCCACCACGCTGGCCAAGTGCGGGTTGGTGGAATTCAAATGTCTTTCGAAAACTTGCTAGGTTCTCTCAGACATGCAGATTTCCTTACAATGTTTTCCTTTATCGTAAGGCAAGTGGTAATGATGTTAGAAATCATTCGCACATGAAAATATCAGAGGTGCGAGACCCGGGATTTGAACCCGCTTCACTCGGTATCCCAAGCGAGCGCGTTACCTTGCTACCACTGCCTTGCTTTTCAACTACAACTACGTCCAATTAATTAAAAAAAAAACATGTATTTAATTGCACCAAATATTAGATAGTCTCCAAATTATTTTCAAAACAATATTTGAAATTAATATGAATGAATTAGGAATGCGCTTATTTTATGAGTCTGGGACCAATGTCTTAGAATAAATAAAATAGACGACCAGACACTCAATGTCATAATCACACTAAAAACAAAAATGCTTGTTACTTACTAAGGAAAATCAAATAGTATCTCAAACAGTGTGTAATTTTCGTGATTCAGAACTACAATATATTCAAATACTTAGAAATAAATTAAGTTTAAATGCCAATTATAAGTTCGACTCGTACATATCTTTAGATATTCTATATAAATAAAATAATTTATCATCTAATCTTTTTAATAAAATTGAAAGTGTCTGTTTGTAATGTTAAAATAGCAGTTAATGTTAATATATACGGTACTTATAAGAAAAACACAATTTTTAATTTTTTTGTCTCTGTTCTGGTTAATCTGCGGAACGGCTGGACCGATGCTGGCGGGAATTTCACTGGTACATAACTGATGTAACTTAGGCTACTTTTATTTTAAAAAGCAATTAGGGTTACATTCAAAATTTTTTATTAAAACGTACCCGGGGACTTAAACGAGCGAAGCGAGGGTAACTCGCTATTTGTAAATAAAACCTTATTATGAAGAACTGAAAAATTAAGTTACGTTTTACTTCATTTTTAACATATTTTAAAATTTTTGATAAGCGTTTTTTTTTTAATTACAAAATCCACCTTTAATATTCTAGTAAATAAAACATTAAAAGTCTTTGTAATATATTTTAAAATCCACATATTTTTAAACCACAAACATACATACATGTTACTTACATACAAGACCGTCAACGCAAAAAATAAAAAGCTTAATCCATATTGAAATGGTTTCAACAAAGGACGAAAATACCAACTAGCATCCTATCTTTTATTATAAATGCGAAAATGACTTCATTTTTGACCTTTTGACGCAAAACCAATTCCGTAGGAAATTTGAATGGTCAATATAAAAATTACAAACGGACGTAGTTATGCAAAATGGTTCCAGACCACGAAAACAGTTTTACTGTCATAAATGGCACCTACATATCAACTTATATACCAAAAAATAGATAAAATACCCAATATTTAAGAGGAATTTAAAAAAAACTAGTCTTGTTATTTTGATGTACCAATTTTAGTGAAATTCCTATTTTCTCAAAAGTAAGTTTTTGTGGTTGAATCTATTTTGCTTTACTACGCTGATACGATACGATTCACGGTCAATCTCACTGAGACTTGCCAACTACGGAAGATATCGTGTACAAGTGAAAAAAGAAATATTGAACGTTTTAATAAACGTGAATCAACATCATCTCATCAACAACAAATATTTTAATATTTTTTTTAATGTGTTATTTTATCATATTTATATAAATACATGCCTATTTCTAATATTTTGCGTTGACAACCCTATAATATAGACCGAACATCAATCATTTTGAATGAACGAGTGAGTGAATGAGATACCATTATAGAAGTAATAATTTAATAGATTTCATTTAAACAGTTGGCAGTCGTCAGATATTGTCTTGTCCTTTACTAGCGTGTTGAAGTGTTCTATGAGCGCCTCTATGGACATCTCTCCGTGTACTTTATTGTCTCTGGTACGCACGTTCACTGTGTTCGAGTTCTTTTCACGCTCACCGACGACTGGGAATGAAAAAAGTTTATATAAAAGTTAGTTCATTTAGGAAATATTCCTAATATTCAATATGAGTGACATGAGTTTATATTTATTTTCATTATCATACTTTACCTCAATACATTTCAAATCATATTCAGAATCAAACAATATAAAAAAAGTGGTTGAGTGTGCAATTCACACATGGTAAAAGTGAAACTTCAGAAAATACCATAAGAGAGAATGAGATGAAAATAGAGTATCAGGAGTAGGATAATTGTAAGGTTTATTTTTTTATATTTTTACCGGCTTTAAGTTACTTTATATTTTATTTGACATAAATATACATATGTCAGACAATAACAACGGTTACCATGGCAACATGGCAATGTATTCTATCTCATTCATTTGCCGGCTTAATCCTATATATTTATATGTTTGTCTCTTTTTAGTGCCGCATTTCGTTCGTTCGCATAGTTTGAAATGAAAACGATTCTAAAGAAGTTTCATTTCAAAAAAATATTTGTAGACTTTACAAAAACAAACCTAATATGTAGTTGAACTGCGCCAACTGAGCGTTTCTAACTTTCTTGTTGAGAGTATCGCCCGCGTCCGTGTCCACCTCCGACATGAAGCCGCTCGCGAACAGTTTCTCATTCACCTGGAAAAAAACAAGTACTAATGTCATTCAAATCGATTATTCGTTTATTGTTCTCGATATTCGTTTATCGTTCTTGACATCGTCGTCTGCGCATTCGAATTTCATTATATCTCTTGTGCGGTTCATCACCTGATCGATTTAGATTAGGGACAACGTGTGAAGCAAAAACAGTGAATCATGTATCCCATTGAACGCCAATTTTGTTGATCTATATTTGCAAGTATATCTATAAATAAATAAAAATATTGGGACATTATTTCACAGCACCATCTAGTTCAATGGTGAGCTACGAGGCCTGTGTTATGGATACCAGATAGTTGATACATTACACATATATAACTTATAAATATAAACACCCACGACTGGAGTACAAACATTCGTGCTCATCCCACAAATGAATTCCCTTGCGGGATTCGAACCCGCGAACGCCGGCACAGCAAGTAGTGTCACTACAAACTGAGCCAAACGTTTCGTCAAGTCTGCAATAATTTGTAAGCTATTTGTTTCCAGCAATTTTTTATATTGTACTTAAATTTAATGCTTTTAGACAACGATAGATAAATTATAATAGACAGATATAGATAAATCACAAAATTAAATAAGCACACACCTGACTCGCGTATTCATCGAAGGCAGGCCCCACCGGCACGACGCACGCCTGGCGAGGACTGAGCCAGAAGGGCCACTTGCCCGCGTACGATTCCGTTAGGATCGCCATCATACGTTCCACAGACCCCAATATAGCACGATGGATGATCACTGGACGTTTCTTCTCTCCAGATTCACTGGTGGAAAAAAAATAATAATGGTCAAGCGCGAATCGAAGTTACCAAATTCAAAATATTTTATTCAGCATTTACCTAATGTAAATTATTACAATTTTTACTGAACGCCAGACCCGAGAAAGGATGGAAGAAACACAAAAAAGCGAGTCTAACATTTTTTTTAAGTGATACTTCTATAGGCAGGTTTGGATGGGGAGTAAATTCGTGTAAGTCGTCATCGACATGGTCACGTGACGTGTAAACGCTGACATTCACGAGTGCCGATAGATGTCAAAACCAGATAAATGTAAACAGTTGCAATTTACAATTTTTTTTAAGATCAAACAATTAATTTGTATAGCCAAAAATAATAACTGTTTGTTTATAGTTTTAAGTTTTCACTTCTATCGGCAGTGACCTCATGACATCTTTTTATAAAAAATATATATTTATTTTTGTTTCTAACTTCGCACACTCAACAGCTGGACAGATTTGGATTAAATTTAGTACACAGACTACGACCTGGAATAACTCTCTCACCTGACATATCCCAGATTGAACCTCTCCGGCAGCTGGAAGTCCAGCTGGATGGTGGCTGCCTGGTGCGAGCGTCGCAACGCGTCCTGCACCGCTATATCTATCTTGGGCCCATAGAAGGCACCATCTCCAGGGTTCAGTTGCCACGGACGGCCGAATCTGTTCAGCGATGCTTCTAACGCCTGGAAATAACAAAAATAATGGTGAACTATGGATCCAGTTATGACCCGCTTTATAGCTTAATTGAGCTACTTCAAAAAAAGATAAAATTATCAAGTAGGATGAGTAATGCTTCTAAAGCCTGGAAACTATTGAGTATTACTTACTATTATCTATACTAATATTATAAATGCGAAACCGTATGTCTGTCTGTCTGTTATTTTTTCACGCTTAATCCGCTGAACCAAAATTTGGTATGGAGATAGTTTGAGACCCTGGGAAGGACAGAGGATAGTTTTTATCCCGGAAATAATCTCTTAAGGGGTTGAAAAATGGGATGAATTTTGTACCGGGAATCAATAATTTGTCAAATAAGGGATATAAAACTCATACCTAAGTTTATATAGTCTCTCTATTCCATACCAATCATTAAAACGAACCTAGGGACGAACCCGAGCGAAGCCAGGGTCAGTCGCTAGTATTACATTATATTTAAAAAAATTAAATTAGACAATAATAGCACAGATAAGATACAGTCAATAAAAAAAATTAATTATAAAAATGGAAGGTATTGAAATAATACCTTTAGTGTATTGGATATTAATCAAATGCATAAGCAGTGGATGCTCATAGGTACGTTTTAACGGTTAGTATAGAATAGATAGACTATATATTAGATGATATATAGCCTATAGCCTTCCACAATAAACAAGCTATCTAATGCAAAAAGTTTTTTTTTTAATTGGATTAGCAAACAAATTCTGCCTCTTTATAGTATTATAGTATAGATTACCTACTTAGAAAAAAAAACTGAATCAATAAACGAAATACCTTCTCTGCGTAATCCCAAGTGGCTATATCACCGAGGTATTTCTCAGGACGCGTGGACAGCTTTAACTGGTAGGTAAATCCGAACTTGGAGTACACACAGTCGAGGAAATCTAAGCATCCGAACTGAAATAACAAATACAAATTATTAATTATATATGTAAAGAAATTATAATGTTTGTTTGTTTTAGTCTGAGCTAAAGAATTAAATAGACAGTTAAGTCTACCAAAATAAATCTCAAAAATAATAGTGTGATATTGGTGAGTTTGTACTTGAATTTGAAAAAAACTACTCTTGATTTTGTCATACAGATCGTTTATATTTTTTAAAGAATAAGGATAATTTTATATAATATGTATTTTTTTTTTTAATTTAATTTATTTATTATATATATTTCCAAAAAAACATTCATACATTTAAAAAAATAAATGTATGTAAAATTATAGCAAAATACATTTTAAGGTAAGACATCTTGTATGGACCCTTCGCCACTGATATATATGTATGTATGTATATATGTACGTGTGTGTGTATGTATGCACTCACCATCTCGGCCTCGATGTCGTGTGGCGCGCAGAACACGTGCGCGTCGTCCTGCTGGAAGCGGCGCACGCGCGTGAGGCCGGTGAGCGCGCCGCTCAGCTCGTTGCGGTGCAGCACGCCGAAGTCCGCCAGCCGCAGCGGCAGCTCGCGCCACGACCGCGCGCGCACGTCGAACATCACGCTGTAACACACACACACGCACGCACACGTACACAATCATTGCTAGTATTCAGATAGCAGATATAATACTTTCTTAGATTTTTAGCGATTTAAATATCCATATTATTTTTCCGTATTAATATAAACTAGCGATTCACTCACGCGACACTCGGGTTCGTCCCCTACATTGCTTCCCCATACAAACTTTCATCCCCACTTTCATCCCTTTAAGGGATGATTTCCGTAATAAAAACTATCCTATGTCCTTCCCAGTGTCTCAACTGTCTTCTTACAAAATTTCACCTAAATTAGTTCAGTAGATCCATAGATCCAGAGATTACCCCCAACAACGTCACAAACCCACAAACTTTACCTCTCTACGAGTATAATATGCATATAGATGTGAAAGTTTGTGAGTATGGATGTTTGTTACTCTTCACACCAGAACGGCTGAACGGATCTGGATGAAATTTGGCACAGAGATAGATTATAGTCTGGAATAACACATAGGCTAATTTTTATCCCGGAAAAATATACGGATCCCGAGGGATAGATTTGTTTTTGTTTTAAATAAAATGATCACTTACCAATGTCCTGGACAATTCATGGGCTTCAAAGCGAATGTCTCTTTTTCTATCTCGAATGAGAACATGTTCTCAGCGTAATGCGCCCAATGACCTGATGTTTGCCATAACTTTGAGTTGAACATGTTCGGTGTCACCACTTCTTGGAAACCACGCTTTCTGAAAAAATAATATATATATATCGTGAATTTGTTTGTGAAATTAAAGATAAAAATATATTATTTTTCTAAGTTTTGTCACTGATGCTATTAAGTACTTACTCTTACTTACACATACATGTATAAAAGTTAATAATCATTCCTCTGGTAAATGGCAATGATAGGTCAGTGGTAGTTCATAGCTCGCTTGGGAAACAAAGTGAAGTGGGTTCAAATCCCGGGCCTTGCAAATCTCATAATTTTATGTAGGTGAGAAGCGTTTCGAACATTATTACCATTTGCCTATTTTTAGAATAATTTTTTTTATTTGTATTGTGAATTTAGCTAAAAGCGACATGATGAAGTTAGCTGCATTCCTCTTACAATGAAAGAGTTGTGACATACGGGATAAAATCGTTAGCTATTTTTGTTCTTTTACGCCAAAGAAGTATAACTTCTTACGTGCGTGCATGTGTACACACACACGTTTTCTTATATACTGTAAATATTTCTCGAACTTCAACTAGGGATATCTTGGTAGGGCCGTTGATTATTATTTACCTGTACTCTTCTCTAATGAAGTTAACCAATGTATTGTAAATGTGAGCGCCGCGCGGCTGGAAGAAGCACGAGCCCGGAGATAGCTCGTGGAAGAAGAATAGCTCTTGTTCCTATTGTAATAAAGTTCAATATACTTAACACTCGAACAGTATACATATAATCCATACTAATATTATAAATGTGAAAGTGTGTTTGTTTGTCCTTATTTCACGTCGAAACGGAGTGACGGATTGGCGTGATTTTTTGTGTGGAGATAGTTAATCGACTGGAGAGTGACATAGGCTACTTTTTACCGCGTGAGATTATCTTATTCCCACGGGAAAATAAGTTATAATACAACTCAAAAATATTTATGAACAGAATTATTTGAAACTTAGTATAAATGATTTTCAATACAATTAAACGAATACGCGTTTTAGCATTTTTCGAAATTCATCCCATAAGAGGGTAAAATATTGAATGAAAGTTTGTATGGAACCTACTTTTTGGTTTTTTTCTAGTTTTAGCGCGAGCGAAGCCGCGGGTTCTGCTAGTGGTAATATATATGCCATAGACATAATATAAAAACGTAGATACACATTTCCTAACAAATATTTTCTTTAAAAGTGGATATTTCAAACGCTCGCTATTTCGCGCGCTTGGCGTGACGTCACAGTATCATAAACGCGGTGAAATGACAACTCAATTTGTTAGAGACAAAATCGCTAATCGCTCTGATAAGATACTTTGACGTCATATTCGATCTGACGAATAGCGTGTGTTTCAACTACTTCGAATTTCCCACCTGTTTTTGAACTTCTTAATAATTATTTTCGTAATCAAAATAAAAAATTATATTGAAACATATTGATATACAAATAATTCAAAAGCAATAAAGATTATTAAAAAAAATATTACACTTTTATTTAAATCACATGCATATTTCCTATTGTAATAAATAAACATTTTTTGAACAAACAACACCAACCTTTCCAATCTTTCTATGATCCCTCTTAGCAGCTTCCTCTTGTATCAGTTCCCATTCCTTCAATTGTTTTGGTTCAGGGAACGACACTCCATATATCCGTTGCAGAGTTTCTGCCTCTGCTTTACCTTCCCAATAAGTGGACGAGTTCTAAAGCAAAAATATATACAAAAAAAAAATTAGACAAGCGCGAGTCATTTTAACATTAAGGTATGTTATGTACATTATGAGAATTTAAATACTTGAATATTTACTTCTTACTGTACTTATACAGCTCAGTATTTTTTACCAAAGTTCAAGGCTATTTACTTTTTTGATACATAACGGAGAAACGCCAAAATCATAATATAACCCCATTCTTAGCTTTCAAGCTTTGTTTTTTTTAAATTATAGATAAGAAAATATATTCATATTCCTCACAACATTTTTATTTCATACTATTATTACTATTATTATTTAACAACACGTTCCGCTCTGTTTGTTTGCTGTGCCAGCGTTCTCGAGTGTATGTATTTAAGGTTATATATATATATATTTAGTGTATCAACTATCTGGTATCCATAACACAAGCCTCGTCGCTTACCATGAAACTAGATGGTGCTGTATGTTAATATCCCAACATATTAAATAAAATGTCACACAATCCTTGTGTATAATAATTATTTTTAATGTTCTAAATTAACCTCATAGTAATAGTAATCCAATATATTTATATAAACAATGTATCTGTACAACACTTATTAAATCTTTTTGTTATGGCAACACTTCATTGCCATGACATATCATTGTCTCAGTGCTTATTTTTCCAAAGAACAAATTTACCGAAAGATTTTGAATCTCAATTCTAATGGAATTAAATACACAATTAACTGAAATAAATAATATACCTCTACTTTGCAGTAGAATAAACTCTCTACAGCAAAGTACAACAATTATAGCTGGTTTGATCAAATAAGCACTAAAACAACGATATGCTCTGAAGATGTCTCCAACATTGCTGTTTTCTATGCATTTGCAATATGTTCTTGATAAGCAACTTTTTGTTACTAAACCATTGGAGATGAGTATGTTTTTGAAATGACTAACTAAATATTCCTTACCTTAGTGACTTTCATCGCTTTGACTTTCCCAGTATGCCTTATATGAGGGCCTCTACACAAATCTATGAGAGGGCCGCATTTGTATACAGTAGTTGTTGGTGTATTCACTTTCTCGTTCAAAATGCGCACTTTAAATTGATTGTAGCCAAACATTTCAAATAACTGTTCCTTAGTCAGTTCTAAGCGCTCAAACGGTTGCTTTTCTTTAGCTATCTTCTTAACCAAACCTTCTACTACTTGAAAATCTGATGATGATATCTGTTGGAACAAAAGATTATCTATACATTAATAAAATTATAACTGGTTGTTGTCTGTATGTGGAAAATATTAGAGAAAAATAGGGGGTCTTTATTAACGCAATAGGACTCAAAACAATGATTTTTGAATTGTTTGTTTGTGAGCACTAATCTCAGAAACGGCTTAACCGATTTGGGTGCGGTTTTTACTAATGAATAGTGAGTTTCCTTCAAAATTCAATATGACATTTCGCACAGAGATAGATTATAGTCTGGAATACAGTACAGTAGCACACTTTTATCATTGAAAAATGTTTACTTCTCGTGGGATAGATTTGTTTGTTTATAATATTAGATAGAGTTTTTTGCATAGAAAGATCGCTTGCACGACGTTGTAACGAGGCAACATGGCTCTACACTAATCATATTGTTATTTTTATGACAGTGAATATAATATAAAATAAAATATGTATGTTCTAAAATGCAATATAAACTTACTCCTTTCCCTGGATGATACATATCATAGTAGAATCCTTCTTCAATAGGTGGCCCGTAGCAGAGGTGACCACCATAGATCTGCCCCAAAAAATGAAGTTAAAAAGAATAATGCAAAAAAATTATGTCATCCAAAAATCCAAATTGATCTTTTCTTTACATATTCTGAAAATAGACTGTGTGCCTGATAAGAAAATATATTTATAGGAGAAAAAAAAACTACAATCAATACTACTTGTGAGACGCCACACTTTGGTCTGACTGGTAAGGGACTGGACAAACATTTCGTCCAGGATGAGAAATTTTTGGGAACATTACAACTTTTTTTATATAGATCACAGGATAGAAGCACTGGTATTATTAAATATATTGTGCAGTAACACAAGAACATTAAAATATAATAAAAAAGAAAGAGCTTCATATATGTGCAGTTTGGCTTGAGAGTTCGAGTTTTTTATAAATTACTAGTGACTTATCAACCGTAAACACCCACCCATGGTTCAAATTTCCAACCCACCCTATTCTCATGACTATCAATGGTTTAGAAACACATATGGGACAAACATATGAATGCATTTTTATTTTTATACATTTTTGTATCACTAATCTCTACCACGTTTACTATACAGTCAGAAAAACTGGTATTGTATATAAACGATAATAATCATACTTAAATACTCCAATTTTAATAAGTTGTCACTCTTTTCAGTTTCCTGTATGCTTGTCTAACTGATGTTACACTGATACTAAACAGATGACATTACAAAAATAGCTAGTTTAAAAATAATAAATATATGTATATTTGACCTTATATAAACAATTAAATAAATTTTATAAGTACTATAACACCCAACTTACACGTTCCATAGCTTCGCCCAGCATGTGAGCTGATGAATGCCAGAAAACTGATTGAGCTTCTGTATTGTCCCATTTGAGCAGTTCCAATTTGCAATCACCTTCTAAAGGTCTATCAAGATCCCATGGTACATTGTTGACTCGAGCTACGATGATGGAGTCAGCTAGGCCTTGACTGAAAAATAATTTATGGTCGTATGAATTATGAGAATTTTAGAAGTTTTAAAAGCTTTTATTTTCATATCGCAGATAGCTAATAATGGGGTTTATTATCACCAGGTGGATAAATAATTTATTACAATATAAAAAACAAAGTACTTGATAATGGCAAAGTAAAAAGGTGATAATAGATTTCAACTTTGAATAAATATGTGTATCATCGGCTAAAGTTATCAGTTACAAAATTATTTTCATTTCTATTAAAGTAATGCATTGACATATTAAATCTAACTAAATTACTTTTGGTCAAGAGCTGTCCCAATATTTTCTTATATATGTAAAACATTTCTGTTCCATAGAAACTAATAATGAATATTATACAATTTTAAACAATTTTTTTAATTAGTATTTCTATAAAATATACAAAATTTATTATTAATTAATATAAGTGGTTGTTTTAAAAATTACAATATGTAAATAATATGAAGGATATTATACCAAAATTTTTCAATTAAGCAATAATAAAAGTATTGTTTATAATATCAATGATAAAAATTGATATTTATGTATACTTACTATTCACTCCAAAACTCGCTTGTTAGCAAATAAATAAGGTGGTCATTTATTCAAAATTGCCAATCAAATGTGTAAAATAGCAATTGAGGCAGTTACAATGAAATAAAGCATAGCAAAATATATGCAAACATGAATTATATCTGAGATTAATCAATAATATTTGTGACAAAATAGGAAGTCTTAATATTTAATTTGGCAATGAAACAAAATATATTTATGAATAATTTTAAAAAGTGATCTAGAATTGTAAATAATAAGCATACTTTTGCATACACACACAAAATAAAAGTAAACTTGTAAAATAGGAGCTATGGGCACACAAAATAGGAGACCATATTAATCATATCATCTCACCTAATACCCTTAGCAACATCATAAGGTGTAGTCTTCCATGCCTTAGCTTCAACAGTTTTGCCATCAGGTAATGTCACTACAATACTTAAGTCAGGTTTAGCTGCTAGCTCTTTTTCATAATCAGCTTTGAATTTATCCCACAAATCCAATCGCCTTTGTATATATTCAGGCCACGGATTTAATTCACCGATAGAGACACTACTTCCTCCAGTTTCAGCTTTTTTCTTTTTTTCTTTCATTGCCTTTTTTTGAGACTGTAAACAAAGAAATTGTTTAAGAATTTACGATTATTTAATGACGTAACCGAGTTACAAATTATGTTAAGTCGGTATTTTTTGATGACGACTACCAAATAAAAGGTTATATGACTGAGAAATCTAGTTTTTAATAAAATGACCTGAGTAGGCAGGCATAATGACTTTGAATAGACTTTAATGAAAGTTTATGATTTTAAAGGAGAAAGATCTAATATTAGTAAACTATTGATTTTAGGAAGTTTGAATCATTCCACTTTGTGATGAAATCCTACGAACCCATGTGGCGTAGCCTTTGAAGCGAACCACGCAGATTCTACGCAATTTGAACAATTGTATCATCACGTATATATTAAATTAGCAATTTACGTCAAAAATAAGTATTGTGCTCAAAATCCTGCCTTTTCATTAATATTTAAATCCTGAACTTCTTCTGCAACCGCGTCGCCCATGTTGTCGGTGGCACAGGTGACAACTGACAATTGACAGATCACAATTCACAGAGTCACAAGTTCACAACTCACACTTACAGTTTATAGAATATAGAGCTAAGATGTTGAAGAGATCAAATAGCAGTGATGACCGATCCATATTATAGTGCCGTGTGAGGTTAAATTCCAATTGAATCCACTCTCTAGCAACGTTTTGTGTATAAAAATAATTCTAGACCAATATCAGACCGAGAACGGAATGTGATCGGTACTATAGTGTGCTACGGCCCTAAAGAGCAAAAAATACCTCAGGGGGATTTCGCGAAGTGAAAAGAAAATTGAAAATAAATTATTATCATCGAACTGTTAGAGGACAAAAAATAATGTATTTATTATTATAGCCACATACATTATAATCATAATGATTAAACATTCATTTTATACATCTTGACTTTTTTTTTTACCAGTCAGCTAGTCGGTCGTTCTATTTAATCGACTTGAATTTATAGCTTTAGCGACTCCGTCGTGACACTAATGGAGTTTTGCAAGTTGACACAATTAATATAAAATAATTTAATATAAATTAACTAGCTAATTAACCTCGCTTCTCTCGGCTGCGTCTCTAGGTGCTTGAATTTTGTTCACAATTTCATGGGTTTCACCTTTTACCCTGGAACCCTAATTTTTTTTCTTAAATAAAACTAGTCTAAGTTACTCCTTACAACATCAACTATCTGCTACTAAAAGTCCTGTCAAAATCAGTCCAATCGTTTTTTAGATTAGCCGGAACAAACGGACAGACAGACATAGATTAGTATAGTAATAAGCTGTTATTTTGACATTAGATTTTTTATCACCCTTGTATGTATTTTTAATGCCGAATCATAAAAAAATAAAATAAAAATGTTGTCCAAAAAATAAAAAATCACTTGGGGTATGAAAAATAGTTTACGTCCTATTCTCAGACCTACTGAAAACGCATATAAAATTTGGTAAAAATCGGTAAAGCCGTTTCGGAGGAATACGGTAACAAACATTGTGGCATGGAAATTTTATATATAAGATATTATTTTACAAGATCTATTAATACATAATTATAATAAAATTAAGTCGAATTTGTTCATTAAATATTTTTTGGAAAATCTAATGGAAATAGACATTATTATCGATACAGAGTCCGAATCTATAGTTTTTAGAATTTTTGTCTGGCTGTCTGTCTGTCTGTCTGTCTCTTACCGCATCACGAGAAAACCACTAGAGGGATTTTTATGAAATTTGGTATGGTGATGGCTGGTTATCCGGGTCAACATATAGGATACTTTTTATCGCGGGAAAATATCTCCTTTCTGAGAAAAATACAAAAACTGCATTGTAAGAGTATATTAATATGTAAAACCTAAGAATTTGGTTTTTGGTCATCTGAGCGCGGGCGGAGCCGCGGGCAATGCTAGTACATAATAAATACATAAAAACGTCACACATGATTGTCATATGCTTAGTATGTGACAAGTGACATAAGAATTAAAAATTTTACATACCTAAATAAAAAATTGATAAATTATTTGTATTTATTATGTCTATACCGAGAGCCCGTCCAATTGATACCTTGCAACAAATAATGTCAACCGTTAAACAATTTGAGAAAAAACTCAATAAGCTACAGGATGATGTAAACTATCATGGACAAACGCTATCCCAAGTCCACGTTATGCTTGCCAATATGTCTGGTGGAACTATGTTAAACAATATAAACGACACTAAACTTGATGTAAAACGGTACGTGAATAAGATGACAGCAATGCATCACGAAGCCAATCACGATAAAACTAAAACGAAACGTAGAAATTTACAACCGTTGGCTCCAAAGATAACAGCTAAAAGTTTTCAAATTGATAAATATGGAATCAACACCAGTGATTCCCCGAATGCTCGCATGATCAAATCCTCTTCCAATCCTAAAAATTTTTTTAATGGAAAACGGTTAAAACAAAGAAATGGAGAGGCACCACGTAAGGCAACTACTTTAAGAAAAAAAATGCAAATAAATGATTAAGTCCTTAAACGATTTTATTCGTGAATATTCATTTCAATGTGATACTCGGCTTAAAACAGCTTGATATAAAAAAATAGCTGAGACTTTTGTCGTACTTGAATGACTTTGAATCTAATAAATAATATCGGATACATATCCTGTTTTGCTTGTATTTATTCAGTATTGGAAATTATGTAGGTAATATTGTATATTTTTTTAATAACTAGTTTTGTTTTTTATTTATTTAATATTAATCGCATATTTTATGTAATGGGCAATATAGATACATATATTGTTACGCTCACGGTTCGCTCACGAGTCGTGATATTTAATAGACCACTCAACGGATAAAATATCGAAGTGTGCATGCGCACTTTAATTTACCGGTGGTAGAACTCTGTAGTCTGTTAAGCCTGAGGAGTCCGTTTGGATGGGTACCACCCCCTTATCTCTTTCTTCCGCCAAGCAATGTTTGCTATGTTGTGTTCCGGTTAAAAGGATAAGGTAGCCAGCGCAATTACAGGCAAGAGGCATATCATCTTAGTCCTCACAGTGACAACGCACCTACGGATCTGCATTTTTATTACATAAAACCTAAGTGCATGAACCGTAGGCGTTATGCACTAGACAGGTTAGGCATTTAGGGACGGGCTAAGCGTGGATAAATCGCTAGTTGACAACTGTTAATATGTGGAAAAGGTCATGTGCGGCGGCAGAATTATTTTCAGGGAGGTGTATCTGTTTCTTCACATTAAACTACTAACTAATCTTTAAATGATTAACTTTATAATATTTTTTTACATAAATCTTATTTATCGTCTTTTCTTTGAAGATATCTAAATTTAAACAAGGATTCACTTAAGGATTCCTATAATATATATTTTTTTTATTTTTTATATATTTTCCTACATGGCATGGCGCAAGTGCACTCCCTTGTAACCACCTTTCGGCGCCCGTGGATAAGGATAATTAAGAAAATAACGACATAAGACATTTTAAAAAATTTATTAATAATATTGTTCTAAAGCGAATATTTTTTCAAACATATTATAGTACATGAAGCCTGAAGGACTACTTTGCATTCAGCTGCATATGGGATAGATTTCCTTTTGATATCCTATTTCATGGCCCCATTGTATCAAAGCTTAATTTAAATAAGCACATACAATTAAATAAAAAATATATAAGTTACAATGTATTAAAAAATGAAAACGTTATATATTCAGTTTTTAAGTGCTTTAATTTTGTATTCAACTATGATGACGCCGATTGAATTTTGTTGACCTGAAATATAAAAGGCGATTATTTTTACTTCTACTTATTGTGTATGAAAAATTGTACCGAGAAATGATACAATATTTTAGGAATTATCAATCAAAAGTGTGCTTCATTTAAAACAGGCAAGCAAAATAGTTATAAAATAAATGCAAATCGACCAAGTAAATAAATATGTTGGGACATTAACACACATCACCATTTAGTTCCATGGCAAGCTATGAGGCTTGTGTTATGGATACCAGATAGTTAATACATTACACATATTATAAAACTTTTAAATATGTACATATTATAAATATAAACGCCCACGACTGGAGTACAAACATTCGTGCTCATCACGAAAATGAATGCCCCCAACGGGACTCGAACCCGCGACCTCTGGCACAGCAAGTAGGGGCGTGTGGGTGCCGTCAGAGTCAAGTAGTCTGTTACGAATAAGGATTTTTTACAATTTTTAATCATTTACTCACTTTTCGTGTATAATTTCAAGCATAAGTATCACAATAGATATAGCAATGCCAATCAACATGAACAGCAGGAGTGGTCGAATATTCAAAAAGCTGACACTGCTGAACTTTGTTATTTTGTCGGAGCAATGAGGTTTTGTAACATGGATACGCTTGTTTATAGCTACCTGAATACCTGATTCATGGATGCGCTTGAAACTGAAAACAAATTAGGTATAATTAGGCAGTGGTAGCCCAGTGGTAATGCACTCGCTTGGGACAACGAGTGAAGCAGGTTCAAATCCTAGGTCTCGCACCTCTGATATCTCTATGTGCAAATCATTTCTAACATAATTACCACTTGAATTACGGTGAAGGTTTTCATCGTGAGGAAACCTGCATGTCTGAGAGAACCTAGCAAGTTTTCGAAAGACATGTGAAGTCCGCCAGCCTGCACTTGACTACTTAGCAAAGAAAAATGACTTACGCTATTCTCAGTAATTCTAAATATGGAGAGAATTTGTACACTGGCACAAACGGATCGAGAATGTTCATAAAATCTACTTCCACGAGATCACACTTCTCTGTGTCCAAGAAAGTCTCCTCGACTCGTCGATACAATTGCTCCGCTATTACGTGAAATGCAAAAAGACCCTAAAATGTACATGTATGTATATTATTAAGTTTATATAAGTAAACACTGGTAAAAATAATTATAAACACTCAAACCATTCTGATTATCGATTATGTATTATAATCAAAAAATAAATAAAAAAAGCAGTCACGAGGACTGCCGACAGAAGTGAAAACTAAAAACTATAAACTAACTGTTGTTATTTTTGGATATTCAAATTAATTGTCTGATCTCAAGTTAAAATTTGTAAATCTGTTTACATTTATCTGGTTTTGACATCTATCGGCACTCTGAGTGTTAGCGTTAACACGTCACGTGACCATGTCGATGACGACTTACATGAATTTACACCCCATCCAAACCTGCCTATAGAAGTTTTCACTTTAATTATTAGTTTATCGTACAATAATTTAAATGTCTATTTAAAGGTATTTATTAGGTTAAATTCAACAATTAGTCATATTTTATACAAATTATAGTAACTGGAACTACTACCTTTCGGACTCGTTCGACGCCTTCATTTAACCCATAATATTCAGCTTTTCCTTTATCTGGCTCTATCTTCTTATATATTTTAAGTCTGACCGGATCTTTATGTGCCTTAAAATTTTATATAAAAGTTAATAAGATGAAATCCATATAATTTCTTTTTAATTTATCTATTAACATGCTACAAGAAATTTTGTCAATATCGTACCAGTAGGTACTTTAAAAATCTAAGAATGAAAAAAATCTCAAAAGCTCGTACGGTCATCAGATTTTGCAGCATTTAACATTACCTTTAATATAAAATGATTATAATCAACTTCCAATGCTGCAAGGGTCACCTTAGAATCGACCAGTTCTTCTAAAGTTCGTATAGAATTGGAAGAAGCCTGCAGTAGTACCACAATGTTGGCGGAATATGCAGCATATAGTGCCATAAGAGCTGTGAATATTATCCATACCATTATACGTCCTGTAAACAGGAAAAGATACAGTAAACCAGTGCAAGTAATGATGTACTCAGTCCTTTTTTTCTAATGTCCCACTGCTGGGCACAGGCCTCCCTTCAATACGAGGCCAGAGTCCACCACGCTGGCCAAATGCGAGTGGCAAGTAATAATAAGTTACTAAAAATGAAATAAACTTTGGTGTAATCCTAGCAGACCCCGAACGGTGGGAGGAGTCTCGGTAAGATACGCGGAAGCAGCGGCGTCTTATAGAACAAACGAATTCTGTGTTGCTGGCATGACTGAGCCCTTCTGGGAAATGACACAGGCACAGGCAGAGGACATCCGCGCTACTATCGAGGGGAAGCTACGGGATGACCTCATGGCTGACCCTGAAGCTACCCTTCAAACTGAACCAAACGATATCCGATATATATAACAAATAACTTGAACATAACTGACATAGACAACTATGTAGAAAGTCTCACAACATTACTCCTGGAGAGCTACGAACAGTCCTGTCCCCTCACCATAACTAGATGGGGAGGGAAGCAACTCTGGTGGTGCCCCAAACTCGAGAGGCAACGCCGGAAAGTCAGGAAACTGTTCAATAGAGCGAATAGAGCTAGGAATAGACGAACGCAGGTCGACTGGGACACCTACACGGTAGCCAGAAAACATTATAAAAAACTCATACGCATCAGAAGGCAAGAATGCTGGAGACACTTTTGCTCCAGTATAGAAAATAACAATCAGGCAATCAAAGTGAAATCGTGCCTCTCTAAAGAGACAGATAACTCAATTGGCTGCCTTAAAAAACCAGACAACACCTACACCAGAACAGACGCGGAGACCAGTGAACTGCTGCTAACAACCCATTTCCCGGCCACCAAATTGCAAACACGCAAATATGGGAACCTTACGAAGAGAGGGCCACTAGCAGCCCAGACTGGAACGCAGCCAAAAACATAATTAATAAAGAGAACACAATATGGGCAATAAACACTTTTCTCCCTTTCAAAGCCGCTGGCCTCGATGGTATCTTTCCCGGGCTGCTAAAGTGAAGCGTGGATATCTTAGCAGAATATTTGGTAACGCTGTTCCAAGCCTGCGTAGCACACCGCTACATAACATTGAAATGGAGAGAAGTAAAGATAAATTCATCCCAAAACCAGGTAGAGGGGACTATACCTTGGCTAAATCCTTTAGATCCATCAGCCTTACCTCGTTTTTCCTAAAGACGTTGGAGAGACAGAGAGATTAGGAGCCAAATATTCCTACAACACCCACTACACCCTAACAAACACGCCTACAGAGCAGGCAAATCAACGGAATCGGCACTCCACAGTGTGGTATCTCGCATAGGGAGCTCGCTGAATCAGAAACAACCTACCCTAGGCGCCTTCATTGGAATTGAAGGAGCCTTTGATAAAACCAACTTTACTAGTATAAGTAGAGCTGCAAACAAGTGGTGTAAATCCTACACTCATAGAATAGATAAACAACATGCTAAAACAACGAGCTATACAGTTTACCGTTAATACTACGTCACGGGGCATCGTAAGTAGAGGCTGCCCACAGGGCGGAGTTTCATCTCAAGTTTTGTGGAACCTTGTTGTGAATGAGGTCATAACAGAGCTCAACGACAACAGCCTGTACACGGTAGGATACCCTGATGATATAGCCACCTTAATATCGGGAAACTTTGAAAGCACTTTATGTGACCGCATGAGGAAAGCTTTCAAAATAACGGAGAACTGGTGTTTGAAACATGAGCTCTCCGTTAATCCCATGAAAACAGAATTGATCATGTTCACAAACCGAAGAGTACCCGGTCCCTATAAACTTCCAAAACTCTTCAAAACTGAAATAAAACTTAAAGAAACAGTTAAATACTTAGGTGTAATCCTAGACAGTAAACTGCTATGGAATAAGCACCTTGACTACAAACTTAATAAATCAACCATTGCCTTCTATCAGTGCAAAAGGATGCTGGGCAAAAAATGGGGGCTCTCGCCGAAAATAACTATATGGCTATACACTGCGGTAGTAAGACCAATACTATCCTACGGGGCCTTGGTTTGGTCGACCAGAACGGAACTCCGGACTGTAATCACGAAACTAGGACGCTTCCAAAGGCTGGCACTGTCTGCTACCAGTGGTTGTATGAAAACGACTCCCACAGCATAGAAATAGCGCTCCAAACAACACCCCTCGACCTATACATACAGCAAGAGGCGACCATGGCTGCCATTAGGCTGATGCATCTAGGTCTGTGGGGGAAAAACTACAACAGTCCACACGCATCCATATTGGGCAGAGCATTAAGCAACTACCGCTTATTGCTGCCCTGTGTGATAGAACATATAACAAACACATCTTCAACAAAAAAATTAACATAAACATGATTGAAGAGAAAATAGACCAATCAGCAGCCAACGCTTCAAAATAAGAGATGGTCGCTAACGACAGACTGCAGGCAAGCTAGATCAGCATTGCCTTCAGTTAACCCACATCTCACTAAACGCCTACTAAACTTAAACAGAACCAATCTCAAAATAATGATAGGGACGATAACGGGCCACTGTCCCTTAAACAAACACTTATTTAACACTGGCGCAACGGACAGCCCTCGTTGCAGAGGGTGCTTCAGCGCTGTAGAATCAGTTGCTCACGTAGTCCTGGAATGCGTAGCAATAACTTCAAAAATCCTCGGACCGGTGAGGTCGCTCCGCTAAGCCCGTGAAGTTCCCAGGAAGCTTCTGCGCTTTTGGACGGAGCTAGGCTGGCTGAACTAGCCAGGATTCGCAACGTACAACGGACCAAATGCGAGTCTAAGTGCGGAAAACGAGTCCAATATACAATACAATGTAATCCTACTAATATTAAAAACGCGAAAGTTTGTAAGAATGTACGTTTGTTACTCTTTCACACCAAAACGGCTGAACGGGTCTGGATGAAATTTGGCACAGAGATAGATTATAGTCTGGAATAACACATAGGCTACTTTTTATCCCGGAAAAATATACAGTTCCCAAGGGATAGATTTGTGTTTATTTCTCTAGAGGCGAACCCGAGCGAAGCGAAGATGAGCCGCTAGTATGCACTAAATTACATCCAAATTCGTCCAGCTGTTCTATGATCTATCGTAAAGGAGTAATAACATACATACATATACACTTTCGTATTTATTATAGTACATTGATATCACATCATATACTATTTAAAAATTCTAAAGTAACTCTTCTATGTTAAAACATACCCGTTTCCATAATTAAACATTCCTATGTTACCAAATTTTGAAAGTCATTGTTGTTAAAAAAATTACCTGCAAGTTTTTTCGGTTCTTTAGAACAACCCTGCTGACCAAGTGCACTTAAAGTTAAAAGTATTGCGTCACCAATACCACCATCTAATTGCATTTGATCCTAAAACATAGTAATGATATCATTATTGATTCAGCATACAAACATACATATATATTATATAACAAAGGTCTCTTACTGTGCCAATCTTAAAAGCTTCCCATTTAGATGCTAAATAAATAGTAAAAGTGGAAATAATTATCGAAAGAATAACAGAAATCCAAACGTTAACGGAGAATGGTAAAGTGAAGATGTTAGCGACGAACGAAAGTGGTGGCTGTCGGAAAATGAACTTTATTTTGAACTTGGCAATCGAATCAGTATAGGCGACGACGCTCAAACGTTCAGAAAATGCCATACAATTTGTACCTAAAAAGTACAAATGGATCAATGACTTTAGTTAAGTTGCCAATTTTGGAAAAACATCATTTTTGAGTAGTTTTAGAGTTAAGTAAAAAAAATGTAAACTAGTTCTTGTAAAAATATTGGCACAAAATCTTGAAATTGCATATTTAACCATATTATTCTTTTTATTCAATTCATACAAGACAGTAAAATTGTTAAAAACAAAAGGAGCATTTACCATTTTCATTGATAAGCTTTAAAGTATTCTCTATACAAATATGAACTTGTTAAAGAACTAGCTAGATTCACACAAATAAAAATGCTATACATGTACTAATTGTCCTAATACGGATAAAAAGACGTTTTCCTGACAAATAAGTTATTTATTAAAAAAAATCACTGTTTTCAATACACTACCTAAATCAGCTCTACCAGTATTTAAGTCATTGATCATTCCTGACCACTGGCCATTCTGCTTAAATCCCCATCTATGACTGAAGATGTAACGAGGCGTGGCGTTCAACATTTGGAAAGCTATATGAACATTGATCCATGATATTTTAGCTATACTATCTAAATGAAGCTCCCTGATAAAACAAATATTATTATAATAGAAATTATTGCCACAATTTAAATAAAACAACTCTTCGGATTTTGTCGCTGTTTTCAACAAAATCCGGAAAGATTTATCAGCAATAAAATGATCATTAAACATTATTTCGACTACTTAGAACAAACATTTTCTCCATTCCTTGAAAACTTGTGTTTTTACTAGCATTGCCCGCGGCTCTGCCCGCGTTCAGATAATCAAAACCCAAATTCTTAGGTTTTACATAATAGTATACTCTTACATTGCAGTTTTTGTATTTTTTCTCAGAAATTAGACATTTTCCTGCGGTAAAAAGTATCCTATAAGTTGACCCGGATAACCGGACAATCACCATACTAAATTTCATCAAAATCCCTCCAGTGGTTTTTCTGTGATGCGGTAACAGACAGACAGATTCGGCTTAGTTACAATTATATTATATGTATAGATTAAAAAGAAGAAACATTTTTTACAGTCTATCTTCTCTAGGTAAATGATACTGTGAAGAATTGCTGTCCTGAATAACGTTAGCCATTGTTAGGGGATGACCCATGATATTTTGCCTCCGTCGGAATAGTTCTCTATGAGGTCTTGTATCAATTAGTGTCCCATTATAGTATCCTCGAGGATTGGAATATGTTGGACCAGCTGGCGAAGGCTTATGTACTAAAAAATAATCCATTATTGTAGCTTTTCGGCCATTTAAGTACGTAAAAGGAGGGAGGGCGCCGCCTTGCTACTATAAACATTAGCTCTGTAATTATATAAGTTTTAAGGAATTAATAAGCTAAATTTGGAGCGTGTGAAAGTGTATAGTGTCAAAAAACAGTGTGAAAAATACCATATATTAGAGACAAGGACAATAGTGAACAGTGAATTACAATAAATATTAAAAAACTGAAGACTGTGCCATTATTGCCCTTTTTTTTTTTTCTCGAAGACTTTCCATCAATCGAGGCTTATTTAGTACAGTGTAAAAGTGTAAATAAACAATAAAGTGTAAACTTTACACAAATCAAGTAAACAATCATATTGTTCGTGTGAATGAATACGAAACATACCCTCAAAAGAGAATGAATTGCAATTCAAATAACTCACCAGACGTCAATGCATAAAGCATAAGTACAACTCCATCTGTTGTAAGACGCGCATACTAGTTCACACCATATCACAACAACTACATTTAGCAAGATCCGATCGCGCGTTCATCGATAACTAAACAGACTAGATAGTTCTAAGACAGATCACAAGAGGACGCTCATTACTAAAACAAAGCAATACACAACTGTATTAAATCATAGAAGAAATTATGAGCGCTCTTAAAAATATACAAAAAGTACTAGATGACCAAAAAATGGAAATTCGGAAAAGTGGAGAAAATGTAGCAAAACAGGTGACACAGAATATCAACAAAATGTTAGATGAAAGATTTTTCTAATGGGAAGAAGGTCATGAAAAATTGAAAGAGAAAGTAGAAAACCAAGAAAAAAGAATCTACTTTTTGGAAAAAGAGGCGAGACAAAGGAATATTGTTTTCTTTGGAATCGAAGAGAAAGAAACGTCATAAGATAACTTACTAAACAATTTATAAATGAACACTTCACTATTAAGGTAGAACCTAGGGATATACAAGAGATAAAAAGAATAGGGAAAAGAGGAGAGAGACCTCGCCCAATAATTGTAACTTTCACAACTCTCAGCACGAAGATAAACATTTTATTAACACTCAATATTATTTGAAGGAAGACTACCCACAACAAGTATTGGAGTAGAGGAGAGATCTGCAAGAGCAAGTGAAATTAGAGAAAAAGAAGGGTAATATAGTGAAAATAAAATATGATAAACTAGTCGTAATAAAACCCAATAACAAAAGGCTACTCCACGTTTCACCGGAAAATAGCTCCCAACCACAAGGCGAGGATAGGACACATACCAATAAAAAGAACAAAATTCTAAAAACACACTTCTCTGCGCGAAGATCGAATATGGTGCCTCAGAAGGAGTTCTAAAACCGAGCATGTTAAACTTTCTAGTTAACAAAAATACCACCAATACGACAACAAAACAGGATACTGAAAACAGAGGCAAAAACTTATAACAATCAAGGCCCCCCTCCCGCATGGATTATATAAATGAACAAACTCAAACAAGAAACAATAAACACCTTCAAGAAACATTAAACCCGGTTGGTCACCGTGGAAGATTATGACCAAAACCCTCTAAAGAAATCAACAAACGTAAAAATACCAAACTCTACATTTAAAACATCTAATAAACTCCATATTCTAACATACAACATCAGAACCTTGTCTTTTTACGGACGCCTACTAGAACTGACAGAAGCAATAAAAAATATAAACTTTGATATAATCGGACTATCGGAAACGCGACGCCTGGGCACTAAAATAGAAGAATACGAAAATTGTATACTCTGTCACACAGGACTCACACAAGGTCTATATGGAGTCGGATTTTTAATAAACTTATATTAAAAGAAAAACATAGAAAGCTTCACCGGCATCTCTGATAGAGTCGCACTACTTAACCTAAATATGCGCCTACAGAAGCAGCAAGGGAGGAAGAGATAGAAATCTTTTATGCAAATTTGTATAAAGCTATGGAACTTGCACATAATACGTATGTAATCAGGGGCGACTTTAAGGCAAAAATAGGCCAACCTAGAGCGGATGAATATTTAATAATGAAATCAAACGGATATGGCGAAAGAAATTCAAGAGGGCAAAGACTTATCGACTTCGCAATCGAAAATAAAATAGCAATTTTAAATACATTTTACAAAAGAAAACCAAATCGTAGATGGACGTGGCGTTCACCCAATGGAGAATATAAAAACGAAATTGATTATATTTTGTCAAATAAACCAGGCATGGTACAAAACATTGATGTATTGAACCTAAATTTCTCTTCAGACCATAGACCAGTTAGAGCATCAATATCAATGTCAAAAATAAAAAAAGAACCAAACTCGATTTAAAAATAATCAAAACTCTATATTGAAGAATGAAGAAGAAATTAGCAGATACAAAGAGTGCATCACAGCTCACCTACCTAACCTATTAGAACTTCAAGAAAATATTTCAGTCCAAACCTATTACGATATAATACTAAAAGCTATCACGCAAAGCCTCCAAGACGCTCGAATACCTAATAGAAATACAAACAAAAGACATAAAATTCTATCAGAGAGCACTCTAGCGCTTATGAAAAGAAGACATATACTGCAAAATACGGAAAACAAAACTAGGCCAATGAAAAATGAACTCTCAGCGTTATACAAACTTATAAGCAAGCGTATAAATAGCGACTATACAAGGTACAGATCGGATACTGCTGAGAGATATCTACTCCAGTCAGGCAGTTCGAAAAAAGCTTTTAAGGAGTTAAGAACAAACAAGACATGGATTGACGGATTATATAGAGAAGGAAAAACTCTGAATAGTCGTAAAGATGTTATAGGAATTGCAACAGAAGAATTCACAACAAATGCACAACAGCATTCTACAAAGAACTTTACAGCGCTAAAGAATTAAACATAACATTAGGATTAAGCATTATTTACTTTTTTTGCTCGTTAAAGAAAAATATAACATACTTAAATTAAAAAAAAAATACAAAAACAATATATAAACTTATTTATTACTGTACTATCTTCTTGTTCAATTAATTGTTTGCCTACTTTTGTTACTCTTGCAAGAAATAAAAAGGCTTTTTTATTTTATTTTATTTAAGTACGTAAAAAGAATGAGGTCATAATCATTTCCAAAATTCGAAATAATATATGTTGAGTTTCAGTATATAACTTTGTTTTACTCAGATCTTAAGAATCCTAATTCGGTTTTTTTTAATAAATAGCTATGATAAATGATTTTTTTTTTAAAGTTGATAGAAGTGCTGCGTAAAACTCATTATGGGACATTAACACTACAATTCAATTCTAGTATAAATAAGATTTTGATAAATACAAATAATTTAATTTATCAAATTTCACTACACTTATTTTTAGGTCATAGACAAAATAAAGCTTATTTCAGTTACATGTCTTACATTCAATTAATGTATAGTTATCTCCAGTTCTTTCAGCGAGAACAAAGTCACTATCAGCCAATAGTGGTAGATCCCAAATCATTGTCACATTGAATTTATATTGCTCTCTATCATAGACTGCGAGCCATCGGTAAGGAAAGCGGAGAAGCTTTGGTACCTAGATATAATAAAATATAGTATTGGAATCTATATTTATAAGTATTTAATCAGTTAAATAGATCGCATTACTAGGAACCACCCTTAGATTTTAGATATCGTTGGCTTACTATTACAATCTATGTTAATTTTAATGAAGTTTAGTAATTTTTACATAGAACTTCGTTATTTTGCTATCGTAAAAAAAAAACAAAATAGAACTATGTAAAATTGAAATGATTTATTAAATTATTTTGTAGTTATAGTGCCGCTATCTAGTGGTTTGTTTTTGCAAAACTGTAGCTAATGACACATAGAACCCTGTAGCATTAATAACTAAATAAGTACTAAAATTGTAACATAGAACCTTGTAATAGTGAGCCAACGAATTATGTTGCTCAGATTTCCAAGGCTGGTGTAGACCGATGGGTATTTAGGTCTTAGGGAAGATACTAAGTATTGGTATACGCTATAAACTGAACGTTTGACAAATTTTTGATGAGTTGAGATTTTGAAACGTGTTTTTTAAGTTAGTTTAAGTTATTTGTTGTAGTTAATTGCTTACGTTAAAAAGAGCTTCTGCGTTAGGACAATCCAAATCTACAAAAAACAACAAAGCGTGATCTTGGAAATGAGATTTCTCGTTAAAAGTTAACGATGACTGAACACAAACATCATTTAATTCTTTGAATAAATTCAGCGTTTCCCCTAAAATAAAAAATAAATGTTTTTACTATAAGTATATATTCTCGTGAAGATATAATCATATCCTAGGTACTCTTAGATTTTTTTTATTTTTTTTTAACGCTGGGAAATGCATTTACGCACGAGGTGTGGGACTCACCGGCAAAGCCAGTACTACCCACTAAAACCCAACAAAACCTTCCCCCGTCTTAATGAGGCGTCGTAGGATCTCTATAGGATACTCTTAGATGCCTTTAACCTAGATAAAAATTTATTTTAAAATGTAAGCATTCTAATTTAAACTACTTGTTATTGTGGAATTTGAGGACTTTTCTAAACTCTCAAGTAAATAAAATCACATTACACAAAATATTAGCCGGGATTAGACTCGTACTTACAATTTTTCCAACACAAATTAATGCAGACGAAAGAAGTGGGCTTGCGTTCATTATCTATGAATTGCTTTATAAAATTAATTGCTATATTGTCTTTGGTTAAAACTTCGCAAGCGTATGTAAAGAGAACCAATAAGAAAAGAAATCTCATTTTTCTGTTCTCATCTATCACAAAACTTTAGAGAATTTGTCGAAAATATGTTACGATGTCATTTAAATAGCCCTTTCCCTATTCTTAATTATTTAGTGTAACTGTATTTGTAGAATTACGTATACAAAATCTAATATCGAGTGTTTGTCCGTTTTTTTAATCTGTTATTTATTTATGTAAGAGTATATATTATGTGCTAAATACTGTTTTATCGTACAAAGTATATCAGTAGTATCTCATTTTTTTATTACTGGATAGGCTTGCGCTTGACGACAGCCAACGCTGGGAAGGACTGATGAGGTCTAGGTTGGAACGCGCTTGCCTAGAAGCATATTTTATATTTAGACCTGCAAAATGTATGGAGTTTATATTAGGAATATTTACACTGAATATGTAATGAATTTGCCTGTGATCATTATTATATTTTTGTATATCAATGCCTGTGTTAGTTTTTTGTGCCAACAGGTTAAGAATTAAGATGAATTTTGTACTATAAGATCATATGTTTTGTTTAGTTTATATTTATATACTATAATGATTTAAAGCTATTACATTAACAAAAGCAGGATAAAAACGTTAGACAAAGATAAATACACGTTTAGTACCAAATTATAGATAATTGTCGGCTGTGTAAGCATTGGTTGGAAATTAAACAAAATTATAGTTTTGGTTGCGGTGCATTTATTTAATAATTCTGTTCAAATTACACTCTATACTTATTTAACTTGGTGTTCACTACTATGTATTTTCTATGAAAGAATGTGTTTTATTTTGTTTTAAGAATGTTGATATTTCATTGACAGTCCCCTTTGTTTCAGGAGCAATCTGAAAAGATTAGATAAGAGTTTTAATCTCTCCACGACCGCGGCCGACACGCCGGCGTTACAGTTAACATGACATGTCAAAATTGGGCGGCCTGTTAAAATGGGAGAAATCAGGGTAATGGATTTAGATGAATCTATTTCTAAGAAAGATATAGCTGAATCAATTGCTGGGGCAGGAGAATGCCGTGAGGAAGAGGTTAAGGTTGGAGAAATTCGACTTAGTCCTGCGAAGTTAGGAACAGTCTGGGTTCGATGCCCACTAACTGTGATTCATAAGCTTAATAATGCAAAACACGTGCAAATAGGTTGGATCAGGGCAAGAATACAAACACTAGCAGCACGGCAATTGCAGTGCTATCGATGCTTGGAGACAGGGCACATTCGTCATCAATGTCAAAACTCCGTGGATAGAAGTTCACTTTGCTATTTCTGTGGTGGCGAGGACCATAAAGCTCGAGAATGTAAGGCAAAAGTACCAAAGTGTCCGATATGCACAGACAGTGGAAGACCAGCAGATCACCGACTGGGAAGTGACAAATGTAAACCCTGTCTAGGGCAAGCGATATGGTGCAAGCTGGTTCTGACCAAACTAGAGCAAACACATTAGCGTCTGTTTCTTCACAAGAAGTTGAGATGAGCCAACAGAGGGAGGAGACCATGGAAATACAAAATTCTCAGAGCTAAAAATCCTTCAAGGCAATCTTAACCATTGCCGTGCAGCTCAAGACCTTCTCATTCAATCCGTTATGGAGCGGTCAATTCTATTGGCAGTTGTAGCTGAACCTTACACGGTTCCAGACCATCCTCGTTGGTTTAGTGGAGAAAGTGGCGACATAGCTATATACTGGAATGCTACCAGTGGGAATATTTCGTGCTCCTTGATCGAAAAAGGGCATGGTTACGTTGTTGTCAAATGTGGCATTTTAACACTAGTGGGCTGCTACATCTCGCCGAATAGTGGGATTATCGCGTTCGAGTCATACTTGGATGAAGTTGCTGCTTGCATACGCAGATGCTTGCCTCGCCCTATAATAGTTCTTGGTGATTTTAACGCCCGTTCAAGAACATGGGGTGACACTAGAGATGATCGACGAGGCATAATAATTCAGGAGTGGGCAGCAAGCCTTGACCTCCGAATTTTAAATCAAGGCTCTATTAGCACTTGTGTACGGTGGCAAGGAGAATCAATAGTAGACTTAACGTGGGCTTCTACATCTGCGTCGCGTATGGTGTCTGACTGGAGAGTAGCTGAAGACGTAGTAACATTGTCTGATCACCGATATATTACTTCGAATAACGCGTGGACTACTACTAGGCACGCAGGGACGAGATAAGCCTGGGTAAATCGCTATTTGACAGTTTTTAATGTGTGTGTAGTTCCAGGGAGGTGCATCTGCTTCTTCACATTAAACTACTAACTAATATTTAAATGATTAACTTTGTAATTTTTATTAATATTATCTTATTTATCGTTTTTTCTTTGACGATATCTAAATTTAAACAAGGATTTTACTCATATAATAAGGTTAAATAATAAAATAACGACATAAGACGTTTTAAGAAATTTATTTACCTACTTAAATAAAAAAAAATTAGGCACCTGCTTATAATATCGTTCTAAAGGGAATATTTTTCTAAACATACATAAATATATTATATATGAAGCCTGAAGGACTATCTTGCATTCAACTGTAAATGGAATAGATTTCATTATCATATACTTATTATATTTCATGGTCCCATTGTATCAAAGTTTAATTTAAATAAGCACATACAATTGAATAAAAAATATATAAGTTACAATGTATTAAAAAATGAAAACGTTATATATTTAGTTTTTAAGTGCTTTAATGTTGTATTCAACTATGATAACGCCGATTGAATTTTGTTGACCTGAAATATAAAAGGCGATTATTTTTACTTCTACTTATTGTACATGAAAAATTGTATCGAGGAATGATACAATATTTTAGGAACTATCAATAAAAAGTGTGCTTCATTTAAAACAGGCAAGCAAAATAGTTATAAAATAAATGCAAATCGACCAACTAAATAATCAAATATGTTGGGACATTAACACACAGCACCATCTAGTTCCATGGCAAGCTATGAGGCTTGTGTTATGGATACCAGATAGTTAATACACTACACATATTATATAACTTTTAAATATATACATATTATAAATATAAACGTCCATGACTGGAGTACAAACATTTGTGCTCATGACGAAATGCACGAAAATGAATGCCCCCAACGGGACTCGAACCCGCGACCTCTGGCACAGCAAGTAGGGGCGTGTGGGTGCCGTCAGAGTCAAGTAGTCTGTTAAGAATAAGGATTTTTTATAATTTTCAATCATTTACTCACTTTTCGTGTATAATTTCAAGCATGAGTATCACAATAGATATAGCAATGCCAATCAACATGAACAGCAGGAGTGGTCGAATATTCAAAAAGCTGACACTCCTGAACGTTGTTATTTTGTCGGAGCAATGAGGTTTTGTAACATGAATACGCTTGTTTACAGCCACCTGAATACCTGATTCATGGATGCGCTTGAAACTGAAAATGAATTAGGTATAATTAGGCTTGGGACACCAAGTGAAGCGGGTTAAAATCCTGGTTCTCGCACCTCTGATATTTCCATGTGCGAATCATTTCTAACATAATTACCTTACGATAAAGGAAACCATCGTGAGGAAACCTGCATGTCTGAGAGAACCTAGCAAGTTTTCGAAAGACATGTGAAGTCCGCCAGCCTGCAGGCTGCACTTGACTACTTAGCAAAGAAATATGACTTACGCTACTCTCAGCAACTCTAAATATGGAGAGAATTTGTACACTGGCACAAACGGATCGAGAATGTTCATAAAATCTACTTCCACGAGATCACACTTCTCTGTCTCCAAGAAAGTCTCCTCGACTCGTCGATACAATTGCTCCGCTATTACGTGAAATGCAAAAAGACCCTAAAATGTACATGTATGTATATTATTAAGTTTATATAAGTAAACACTGGTAAAAATAATAATAAACACTAAAACCATTCTGATTATCAAATATTATGTTTAAAAATTTTTATAAAATCAGTCACGAGGACTGCCGACAGAAGTGAAAACTTAAAACTATAAACAAACAGTTGTTATTTTGTTATTCTGGGATATTCAAATTAATTGTCTGATCTTAAATTAAAATTTGTAAATTAAAACAGTTTACATGTATTTGGTTTTGACATCTATCGGCACTCTGAGTGTCAGTGTTAACACGTCACGTAACCATGTCGATGACGACTTACATGAATTTACTCCCCATCCAAACTTGCCTATAGAGGTTATCACTTCAATTATTAGTTTATTGTACAATAATTTAAATGTGTATTTAAAGATATTTGTTGGGTTAAACTCAACAATTATTCATATTTTATGCAAATTATAGTAAATGGAACTACTACTTACCTTTCGGACTCGTTCGACGCCTTCATTCAACCCATAATATTCAGCTTTTCCTTTATCTGGCTCTATCTTCTTATATATTTTAAGTCTGATCGGATCTTTTTGTGCCTTAAAATTTTATAAGATAAAAGTTAATAAGATGAAATCCATATAACTTCTTTTTTATTTATCTATTAACATGCTACAAGAAGTTTCATCATAATCGTACCAGTAGGTACTTTAAAAATCTAAGAATGAAAAAAATTTCAAAAGCTCGTATGGTCATCAGATTTTGCAGCATTTAACATTACCTTTAATACAAAATGATTATAATCCACTTCCAATGCTGCAAGGGTCATCTTAGAATTGACCAGTTGTTCCAAAGTTCGTATAGAATTGGAAGGAGCCTGCAGTAGTACCACAATGTTAGCGGAATATGCAGCATATAGTGCCATAAGAGCTGCAAATATTATCCATAACATTATACGTCCTGTAAACAGTAAAAGATACAGTAAACCCGTGCAAGTAATAATATACTCAGTCCTTCTTTTCTAATGTCCCACTGCTGGGCACAGGCCTCCCTTCAATATGAGGCCAGAGTCCACCACGCTGGCCAAATGCGGGTGGCGTGTAATAATAAGTTACTAAAAATGAAATAAACTTTGGTATAATCCTACTAATATTATAAACGCGAAGGTTTGTAAGAATATATATATGGATGTGTTTGTTAATCTTTCACGCCAGATCGGCTGAACGGATCTGGATGAAATTTGGCACAGATATTGAAGAAGAATTGAAGAATTCTGGAATAACACATAGGCTCCTTTTTATCCCAGAAAAATATACAGTTCCCGGCGGATAGATTTGTTTTTGTTTCTCTAAATTACACCAAAATCCGTCCAGCCGTTCTTGATCTATTGTAAAGGAGTAATAACATACATACATATAAACTTTCGTATTTATTATAGTAGACTAATATCACATCATATACTATCTTTAAATTCTAAAATAACTCTTCTATGTTAAAACAAACGCGTTTCCATAATTAAACATTACTGTGTAACCAAATTTTGAAAGTCGTTGTCAGTAAAAAAATTTACCTGCAAGTTTTTTCGGTTCTTTAGAACAACCTTGCTGACCAAGTGCACTTAAAGTTAAAAGCATTGCGTCACCAATACCACCATCTAATTGCATTTGATCCTAAAATATAGTAATGATATCATTATTGATTCAGCATACAAACATACATATTATATAACAAAGCTATCTTACTGTGCCAATCCTAAAAGCTTCCCATTTGGATGCCAAATAAATGGTAAAAGTGGAAATAATTATCGAAAGAATAACAGAAATCCAAACGTTGACGGAGAATGGTAAAGTGAAGATGTTAGCGACGTACGAAAGTGGTGGCTGTCGGAAAATGAACTTTACTTTGAACTTGGCAATCGAATCAGTATAGGCGACGACGCTCAAACGTTCAGAATTTGCCACACAATTTGTACCTAAAAAGTACAAATGGATCAATGACTTTAGTTAATTTGCCAATTTTGGAAAAACATCATTTTTGAGTCGTTTTAGAGTTAAGTAAAAAAAATGTAAACTAGTTCTTCTAAAAAGATTGGCGCAAAATCTTGAAATTGTATATTTAATCATATTATTCTTTTTATTCAATTCATACAAGACAGTAAAATTGTTAAAAACAAAAGAAATATTTACCGTTTTCAATGATAAGCTTTAAAGTATTCTCCATACAAATATGAACTTGTCAAAGAACTAGCTCGATTCACACAAATAAAAATGCTATACATGTGTAAATTGTCCTGATACGGATAAAAAATCGTTTTCCTGGCAAATAAGTTATTTATTAAAGAAAACTCTATTCTCAATACACTACCTAAATCAGCTCTACCAGTATTTAAGTCATTGATCATTCCTGACCACTGGCCATTTCGCTTATAACCCCATCTATGACTGAAGATGTAACGAGGCGTGGCGTTCAACATTTGGAAAGCTATATGAACATTGATCCATGATATTTTAGCTATACTATCTAAATGAAGCTCCCTGATAAAACAAATATTATTAATAATAAAAATTATTGCCACAATTTATATAAAAGAACTCTTCGGACTTGGTAGCTATTTTTCACAATATTCGAAAAGATTTATCAAAATCCGAGAAGAAAATGATCATTAAACATTATTTCGTTTACTTAGCACAAAAAAATTCTCTATTAATTGAAAACTTAAGTTTTTATTAGAAAATAAGAAAAAAACGGGTTTACAGTCTATCTTCTCTAGGTAAATGATACTGTGAAGAATTGCTGTCCTGAATAACGTTAGCCATTGTTAGGGGATGACCCATGATATTTTGCCTCCGTCGGAATAGTTCTTTATGAGGTCTTGTATCAATTAGTGTCCCATTATAGTATCCTCGAGGATTGGAATATGTTGGACCAGCTGGCGAAGGCTTATGTACTAAAAAATAGTTCATTATTGTAGCTTTTCGTCCATTTCAGTACGTAAAAAAAATGAGGTCATAATCATTTCCAAAATTCGAAATAATGTATGTTGAGTTACAGCAAATAACTTTCTTTTACTCAGATCTTGAAAATCCTAATTCGGATTTTTTTTTAATAAATAGGCCTAATAAATGTTTTTTTTTTAAGTTGATAGAAGTGCTGCGTAAAACTCACTATGAGACATTAACACTACAATTCAATTCTAGTATAAGATTTTAATAAATACAAATAATTTAATTTATCAAATTTTACTACTCTTATTTTTAGGTCATAGATAAAATAAAGCTTATTTCAGTTACATCACTCTTACATTCAATTAATGTATAGTTATCTCCAGTTCTTTCAGCGAGAACGAAGTCACTATCAGCCAATAGGGGTAGATCCCAAATCATTGTCACATTGAATTTGTATTGCTCTCTATCATAGACTGCGAGCCATCGGTAAGGAAAGCGGAGAAGCTTTGGTACCTAGATTTAATAAAATATAGTATTAGAATCTATATTTATAAGTATTTAATCAGTTAAATAGATCCCATTACTAGGGACCACCATATACTACTATTTTAGATATGTTGCTCAGATTTCCAAGGCTCGTGTGGACCGATGGGTATTTAGGTCTTAGGGGAGATACTAAGTATTGGTATACGCTATACATTGAACGTTTGATAAATTTTGATGAGTTGAGATTTTAAAACGAGTTTTTTTAAGTTAATAGCTTACGTTAAATAGAGCTTCTGCGTTAGGACAATCCAAATCTACAAAAAACAACAAAGCGTGATCTTGGAAATGAGACTTCTCGTTAAAAGTTAAGGATGACTGAACACAACCATCATTTAATTCTTTGAATAAATTCAGCATTTCCCCTAAAATAAAAAGAAAATATTTTTGCTATAAGGATATATTCTCGGGAAGATATAATCATATCCTAGGTACTCTTAAAAGACCTAGACCTAGAAAAAAATCTATTTTAAAATGTAAGCATTCTAATTTAAACTATTTGTTATTGTGGAATTTGAGGACTTTTCTAAGCTCTCAAGTAAATAAAATCACATTACACAAAATATTGTCCGGGATTATACTCGTACTTACAATTTTTCCAACATAAATTAATGCAGACGAAAGAAGTGGGCTTGCGTTCATTATCTATGAATTGCTTTATAAAATTAATGGCAATATTGTCTTTGGTTAAAACTTCGCAAACGTATGTACAGAGAACCAATAAGAAAAGAAATCTCATTTTTCTGTTCTCATCTATCAAAAAGCTTTAGAGAAGTAATCGAAAATATTGTATGATCTCATTTAAATAGCCCTTTCCCTATTTTTATTTATTTTATGTAACTGTATTTGTAGAAGTACGCATACAAAGTCTAATTTTGAGTGTTTGATCATTTTTTTAATCTGTTATTTATTTATGTAAGAGTATATATATTATGTGTTAAATACTGTTTTGTCGTACAAAGTATACCAGTAGTATCTCATTTTTTTAATTACTGGATAGGCTTGCGCTTGACAATGCTAGCAAAAATTGGGAAGCACTGATAAGGTCTAAGTTAGAACGCGCTTGCCTAGAAGTATATTTTATATTTAGACCTGCAAAATTTATGGAGTTTATATTAGGAATATTTACACTGAATATGTAATGAAATTTGCCTGTGATCATTGATATATTTTTGTATATCAATGCCTGTGTTAGTTTTTTGTGCAACAGGTTTAGATGAATCTTGAACTATGAGGTCATATTTTTTGTTTAATTTATAATTAATTATATACTATAATCATTTAAAGGTATTACATTAACAAAAGCAGGATAAAAACGTTAGTCAAAGATAAATACACGTTTAGTAGAAAATTATAGATAATTGTCGGCTGTGTAAGCATTGGTTGGAAATTAAACAAAATTATAGTTTTCGTTGCGGTGCATTTATTTAATAATTCTGTTCAAATTACACTCTATATTTATTTAAGTTCGTGTTCACTACTATCTATTTTCTATGAAAGAATATGTTTTATTATGTTTTAAGAATGTTGATATTTCATTGACAGTCCCCTTTGTTTCAGGAGCAATCTGAAAAGATTAGATAAGAGTTTTAATCCCTCCACGACCGCGGACACGCCGGCGTTACAGTTAACAATAGATTTCTTAGAAATTTATTTAATTTCTTAGAAATTTACCTGGAGGTGTTAATACCTAAAAATTTTGGTCTAAGTGTGTGACATTAGACAGATTTAATATAATTGTGGAATATTTAATAATATTTTTCTTGATAATATTATTTTAATTACTAACAGCTAGCCCCTTCGCTCTTGCGCTTTAGGTGCCTTTTGTTTTTATAACTAGAGACTCACCCCTCACTTCTCTTAGGTGCATCCTTAATGAATGGTTTAAGAACGTATAAAAGACAAACGTCCAAAGAAAACATTTTTTGGGCCAAGAACATTCGATATATTACATATTATTAGCAACTTACCCTCACTTTGATCCAACGTGTTCCTAGATGCCTCATAGCCTATATACATAATATATGTTACTCCAAATCATAATCTGAGTATCTGTGTACTAAATTTTATCTAAATCCGTGAGATTTCGGTGTGAAGAAGTAACAAACATACCAACTTTCACATTTCTAATTGTAGTCAGATTGCAGATTAATCAAAACAATTTTCATAGATAATACGTTTCATAAATATACAACTGCGAGATTTTTTATTTTATTATTTATATTTTTTATATATTACAGACATGGACGAATTAGAGACTAATTCGTTCATGATTATTATCTTAAGTTTATTATACTTACAGTCTTTTGTAGGCTATCTCCAAGAACAGAACAGCGATGGATATGAACACGCCGTACAAAGTGGCGATGAGAGCCGGGTACATGTCAGTGATGCCGACGCTACTAAAAGCAGAGATGATGCCCGAACAACGCGGCTTGCCCACATGGAGACGATGGTGGATGTTTGACTGAATACCTGTCTCTCGAATCTTCATAAAACTGGAAAAAGTATTGTAAAAATTTGTAATTTAGTGAAGTTTTTAATTTGTTTAAATTATTTACACTATTATTTGTTTCAATTACAGTGTGTGAAATTCCCTGGATTCTGTCTTGGGCCGGACATAAATTTTTAGCAACAAGAGTCAAGATTATTATTATAACTAACTCTAACTCAGTGGTCCAGTAGCCAACATGAACTGGGTTCGATTGTTATATTATAGGAAGTTGACAGTGCTATACTTTGTGCCTCCAACAGCACGTAAAGACGAATGTAAGTGAAATATTCAGTGTGAAAGAAATAAAGAGTGCATTTGTATTAGTGCACAATTTATTTTAAAATATATACGAAAATAACATTAAAAATTTATGTAATAGTATAAAAAATGTTTTAAAAGACAACAAAATTGAAAGTGCATAATAATAACAAGACTTCCGCAACACCATTCAGACAAAGAGAGACATTAGCATTCCCAAGGAGGGTTGACGTCAGGCAGGCGGCCGGTCGTAAAACTTTTGCAAATCCTATCAGCAGTACAGAAGATGTACTGCGCCGATCCCAAGTGATTGGGAAATGGGCAGGGAAAAGAAGATATGTATTAGTACACACACGATGCCATATAATATCTCCAATACAATTGTCTAACGCCAGTAAAATGGGTCGTAGTCACTGAAATAAGTTAGGTACAACGTAGGACACTAATAAAACTTCAAGATATTCCTTGCATTTAGTATTATATTCAATACTTTTATAATCGTCACTACGTTTGTCCGTGTAGAAGTTACCGCCGGCTCGGAAAGCAGTTCTGCTGAGAAGAGCCAACAAGAATCTCAACAGTTATCTTTTTTTTATTTATTAAAGGTCAACCAACAAAATATACATTAAAAACGGTATGATATTCAATTGTGCTAACAACTTCATAAATGTTCTTTTAATTCTAGGTTATCACAACATGTTTTTTTTTAAATCACTGTACTAGATGCAAGTTTAATTTAAAAAAATAATAATACGTTAATAGACAAAATTAAAATTAAACTATAAAATTAATAAATATGACAATTGAAATATAAAAAATTTCATAATCAGACTGAGTACATACATAATGAGTTACATAATTTACAACAACACTTTTCAGTATTTCAAACAATCCATGACTAGTTACTACAGGGTGGTACCGACATCTCTCCCCTCAGTCAAGCGCGGGAAAACGAAAGAACATCCGGGTCCTTTTTATTTTTTTTAAATACATTCCTTTAGCCAAGGTCACATAACTACATGCCACATATATAAATTATTACAAATTAATCAAATATATTAACGTTCAAAAAAAATGCAACCTTACACACGTAATATTACATTGGCGTCCCTTGAATACTTTTTTCAAAGGAATAATATCCCAAATAAACGGCGTGTTGTTTTGGCATAACATGAACATGCTGTACAAAGAAGCGATCGTAGTCGGCTACATTATTATCAATGATGACATCATCACTGAACACGGAGATGCAGCTTGAGCAATAAACAGCGCAGCTATTAAACGTGGATATTTCGGTAAAAAGTTGATTGGATATATTTCTCATAAAGAAAAATATTGCAATGCATTGCAGTGTTCATTTTAATCATTCCTTTAATAATATACGACAATGCGAACAAACTAACAAGTTTATTATAATAGAAATTATTTGTTTTATTTCTATATTTAGAGCAAATGCACTATAGTTCTATTCAAAAAATACGGCACTACCACAACATAATATATATGCATATACTACGAACATCATCTTTGGTGGTTACTCATCTTGTGGGCGTTATCAGGGCTCAAATAATAAAGTATTCAGTGCTCAATACATAATTTAATCAGGGAAGTCACAATGTTATAAACTTGAAACGGTAATTCTAATGATTTAGAGCTAGCGGGTTCACAGTCAGCGATCATCGACTTCCAACTACAATATTAATCATAAATCTCTATCATCCACCAAGATCAACCAACGTTACTAAGCCGCGTATCTGCAAAGAATGTCGTGATGGCGTCTCGACCCCGCTCGAGACTAAATCTCTGCTCTAAATTCAAAATCAATTTAAAAGCAATAAAAAGTAAATTAAAGAACATAGTGACTTTAAACAATAATAAGGTTTCATAACAGAAAAAGGTAACTAAATCCTCCTCCGTCATATATATATATATATATATATATATATATATATATATATATTTATATTATTCATTAACAAAATGTTTAAAAATTACAAACAAGGTAGAAATCGCCTTTAAGTATAAAGACACCTATGACAGGCAGTCTCGCTGTTCCATAGCCACATCAAAAGTAACTTGTTATAGCAAATTAAGTTTTACATTATTTATTAGTAAAATAATCAATATAGATATTTAATACTGACTTTATTTTGAACAAATCCTTATACGGTGAACGCTTCTGCCCCGGCAGCCAAGGGTCTATTTCGTTGATATAATCGATTTCCACCAGATCACATTTCTCGTCCTCCTGGTATGTTTCCTGAATCAACCTATATCCAGGGTTTAGCTCCATGTGAAAAGCAAACAAACCCTGATGGAAAAGCAGTTATGTATATATAATTATTATATACGAGTAAACAAAAGGTTTAGTATTAACACAAATCATATAATACTATTGTACCCGTCTTATCTTCTCGACGCCCTCCTCCATAGTGTAAAAGTTAGGTTTTTTTCCTTTTGGAGCTATCTTCTTATTGTAAATAGCTTTACGTACTGGCTCGTTTAGTTTCTAAAAAAAATTCAATCATATAAAATTACATATAATTTTTAATATCTTATATTTCATGTTAGAATAGTTGCAAATTACTTTAAGAGTATATTTGATTAACATTCAGATGTCGTACATTTGATTCCGTTATAGTGACTTAATTTAGTTTTTATTGGTTGGTCGATTTGCATCAAATACCATTGATACTAGTGATATGTACTGTGAAGAATTTATTTGACATTTCAATCTAATTTAATTTTCTTGCTATGTATAAGCCATGCCAGTTGAGCACAGATTACTTCGCCAATATTACGTAGAATGGAGAAGACACAAAGAAGATTGGTCGGTAAAATAAGATTATAAACTCTTATAAATTATAATATGTAAAAAAAAAATAAACCTTGGTATATAACAAAAGACAGCACAGGTAACATACCACACATAAAAAAACCTTAATTAAAAATAAATATTTGACAGTTCCTACTTAAAAAAGCTGCCTATAGCACTTTCCGGCGCTTCAAATAATCGTTTTGTTAAAAAATCATGGCACGCGTTTGATGCTTTAAAAAAAGAGCATATCAATAAGAATCTGTTCTTGAACCGCGACAAAATCCGAAAAGATAGTTTCATAACACCTCCAGGTAAATTTCTCAGAAATCAATTAAATTTCTAAGAAATCTATTGTTAACTGTAACGCCGGCGTGTCCGCAGTCGTGGAGGGATTATGTCAAATATTTGCGTAAATCCAAGAAAATACTACCTTTTTTATATACATAATTTTGTTAAGCATGGTATAACATATAGTATGACTTTTAATTACCTTAAAGAAATATCGGTTATATTCAAAGTCACTGGCACCAAGCTTTAAAGGCGAATCGAGAAGATCCGTAAGAGATCTCACTGACGAGCTTGGGGCTCGAAGCAGTACCACAATATTTGCAGAATACGCTGCATACAGTATTGTTAGTGCCACGAATAGAAGCAAAGTTACGACTCTACCTAATAAAAAAAAAATGTACACATTGACATATATTACTCTAATAAACCATTTAAAAAGATAAAAAATGAAGTTTCTAGTGAAACGTGTTAAAATTGGAACTTCATTGGTTATTTATATTTCAAATCCGTAAAATTAATAAATTAATAAATCTTTTACTCGCGATGAACCCGCGACCGCTGGCACAGCAAGTAGGGTCACTACAAACTGAGCCAAACTTGTCATCAAAAATGATTTTATTTACTAATTTTATGTATAAATATTATCTTATGTATTAATAGTAATTCATGTATGTAACCTGCAGCGTATCTCGGTTCAAGAGTACATCCCTGTTGCAGAACAGCGCCAATGATCAGTATGAGGACATCTGCCCACGACCCATTTAGTTGTAATGGATGCTGCAACATACATATGTTCTAAGAAATATTTACTTTAAAAGAGAAGTACAAGGAAAATATAATATAATATTGTAAAAATAATGATTTTAATTGTTTTGATAAGTAGGATTTCTTTAATTTTTATAATACGTAGAAACTTTTATTTGTGCGATGAAACCTATTTCGAAACTAGCGACTCACTCAACTACGTCGTTTTAACGGTTAGTGAAGATTTCTCAGAGATGAGATATTTTCCCGCAGTAAAAAGGATCCTATATGTTGACCCGAACACCAGCTATCATCATACCAAATTTCATCAAAATCTGCCCAGTGATTTTCTCGTAATGCGTTCCCAGACAGGCAGGTAGACAAACAAACAGGAAGACAGACAAAAATTCTAAAAAATATTGGATTCCGCCTCTACATCGATAATATTGACTATTTCAATAAATATATTTCGGTCAGTTAGAATTTTATTATATGTGTAGATGTGATTAATATTTAATTTACTCGAAGTGCAAATTGAATGACCATAATATTTACGAGTATAGAGTATAGTATGACGGCGCATTGACATTTTTGAGAGTGACGTTTCGACACTCTGACACAACCCCGGGCGCTAGTGAGCATTAGCGTGTGAGTCGAGACGGACATTACTTTTGTCATTCGATTCGCATCGCATCGTTACATTACGTGTTCGGTGGAGTGTCTGTGTTTGAATTTTTAATTGAAATTAAGAACTGTTAAGAATTGTGAAGTGTTAATGAACAATTGTAAAAGGGATTATAATTAGTGATTATATTGTGTATGATTTGTGAAGCGTCGTTTTATTCTCTTCGTCCGTCAACTCACGTCTACCCACATTATAGTAATAATTATTGAATATGGAAACGATTAATAATGATGATAGAGGCCAAGTGCCTTTATCAGAAGTGGGATTTGCAGGACAAAGATCTGAAGAGAATATGCAAAGTAATAAAGCGTCGACGTCATCGCAGGAACCCAGCTTTCTACAGAATATGGAAATGTTACTAACTAGATTATTAGCGGCTACTCATGCGCAACCTACGAGTAATCCTCCGATACAATTGATTCAGTTTGACCCTGATTGTGTGGATGCGGACATAGAAGGTTGGTGTAAAGTGACCGAAATCATTGTTGATAGCAAGAAGTTAGAAGGTGCGGAATTACTATTATTGCTTACACATGCCCTTAAGGGACGGGCCGCTTCTTGTCTCACCAAATTACAACCATCTCAACTAACATGGTTGCAAATAAAAGAAATTCTATTGGCAAAGTTCGCTAAGCCTATGTTACCACAGGATTATTTCGATGAAGTGCTTCGATTTCAAATAGGCCTAAAAGAATCGGCATGTGAGGCGGCGATACGACTATGGAGCATTATAGAACGCATTCCCCGTACGGAGATGGCTGAAGATATAATCACAGGATTTGTAGCGTCAGTGTTGAGTCAAAAGGATGTCATTATTCGTAGGGAGCTTCATTCTCATAATGTGGCAACTAGATCTCAACTCTTTCGCATTCTAAATGGAATATCATTAAAGCGGAGGCATGATGGTAACGACAGCCAAGAAATTGAAGTTAAAAGGACTCGTTTTAATGAAGGTCGCTTTACGGGAGCATGTCACCGTTGCGGTGTGCCAGGACATAGAGCTATTGACTGCCGTAAAAAGCGCGAAGACCCTAGTTCCGTAGAAAAGACACCAAGCCAATCGTTTAGAATACCTGATAAGACGCGAGTGATTACGTGCTATGTATGTGGACAGTTGGGGCACCTCGCGTCAACATGCCCAGAAAGAAAAGGAGGGAGCAGCGCACAGATAGTCAAGGAGGTCAACATCTGCGAGCGCAAATCATCGATGAGCACGTTAACTACATCATCTGGTGAGCCCGTTTCATTTCTTTTTGATAGTGGATCTGCTTGTTCGTTAGTCACATGTAGCTTTTCTAAAAAGTTTTCGGGTACGATTGAAAATAATTTGGTATATTTAACAGGAATAGGTAGAGAAAATGTAAAATGTAATTCACAAGTTCTTAGTTCCATCAATGTACAAGGTATTTCATTATCAGTATTATTTCATATAGTACCGGACGGCACCATTGCAGAGCCCGTAATTTTAGGTCGAGATTTATTAGAAAATAACATTCATGTCGAAATCAATAATGACCATCTTATATTTTCATTACGTAAAGATATTAGTGTAACTGAAAAACCGAACTATTTTAATTTTCTAAATACAGATCTAGACGGTGATAATAAAATTGCTCTAATTAAAATACTGCAAAAATACAGCGACTGCTTTATCGATGGCATTCCGACACGACGTGTTTCTACAGGTGTATTACGAATAGATCCGATTGACCCCACTAAAACTGTACAAAGGCGCCCCTATAGATTAGCCCCCGCGGAAAAAGAAATTGTCAGACAGAAAGTTGAAGCTCTTTTAAATGCAGGTGTCATTAGAGAAAGTCACTCTCCTTTCGCTAGCCCGATTTTGTTGGTCAAAAAAAAGGATAATACAGATAGAATGTGCGTAGATTATCGGGAGCTCAATTCTAATACACGACCCGAACATTACCCATTGCCAAGAATTGACGAACAAATAGATCGTCTTCATGGTGCCCATTACTTTTCCTCATTAGATATGGCGTCTGGTTATCACCAAATATTGGTAGATCCCGATAGCATAGCACGAACGGCATTTGTGACCCCGGAAGGACAGTATGAGTACCTGGCAATGCCATTCGGGCTTCGAAATGCAGCATCTGTTTATCAAAGGTGCATTAATAAAGCACTAGGTCCCTTAAAAGATAACGTGGCATTAGCCTACATGGACGATGTCTTATGCTACTCTGATGACATTAAAAAGGGCTTGGAGCGCCTAGATTCCACGCTAAAAGCACTTTCTGACGCGGGCTTCTCGTTTAATATTAAGAAATGTGCATTCTTGAAAAAGGAAATTGATTATCTGGGGTATGTAATAAAAGCGGGAAAGGTAACTCCAAATCCTACAAAAGTGCAAGCTTTAGCAAACGCTCCCACACTTAAAACAGCTACACATGTTAGGCAGTTCCTGGGGCTTGCGTCCTACTTTAGACGTTTTATTCCTAATTTCACCCGTATTGTGGGACCCTTGTACCCACTAACAAAATTAAAAGGCCCAATTAAATGGTCAGAGACACACAGTGAGATTCACAAAAAGATTGTTGATATACTTACTACAGAACCGGTTTTAACAATTTTTGATAGGGACTCACCAATAGAACTGCACACTGACGCAAGTTCGGAAGGATATGGCGCGATACTCATTCAAAGAAAGAATGGTGCACCTCATGTTATTTCGTATTTTAGCCGCAGAACAACAGACACAGAATCGCGATATCACTCTTATGAGTTGGAAACGCTGGCTGTTGTTCGAGCTGTAGAAAATTTTCGCCATTACTTGTATGGTCAGCATTTTACAGTATTTACAGACTGCAACTCTCTTAAAGCGTCTAAATCGAAAACTGATTTAACCCCGCGTGTTCATCGGTGGTAGGCTTTCTTGCAAGCGTATGATTTTGATATTGTGCATAAACAGGGAAAGAGTATGGAACATGCTGACTTCTTGTCAAGAAATCCACTTTCAGAACCAGCCCCTGGACCCTCTCATACAAATGATGACTCTGGTTTATCCAAGAAAGGTAAGCATGTTCATTTTGTAGAGTTGCATAAGGGTTGGCTTTCTGTGGAACAGAAACGCGATAGAGAGATTCAAGATCTTATCAGTAAGTACAATGACAAAGATTTACCAGAATTAGTTGCGCATACTTACGATGTCCGAAAAGGCATTCTTTATAGGAAGATAGAACGTAACAAGACTACTTTTTGGTTGCCAGTCGTACCTAGGTCTCTTACGTGGACTTTGATTAATCATGTGCATACAGAAATTAAGCACCTTGGAGCTGAAAAGACCCTTGACAAAATATATGAGCAATATTGGTTTCCACAGATGGCTAAGCAAGTTCGTAAATTTATTGAATCTTGCATAGTTTGCAAAGCCTCAAAGGGTTGTTCAGGGGCTCAGCAGGTACAACTCCACCCAATACCGAAAGTAGCAACACCATGGGATACAATACATATCGACATGACAGGGAAACTCAGTGGAAAGAGTGATAGGAAAGAATACGCCTCAGTCATAATCGATTCCTTCACAAAATATGTCCTACTTGAGTATACACCCTCACTTGATGCGGCAAGTGCCATTAAAGCTCTTAGAAAAGCTGTCTGTCTGTTCGGTGCCCCAAAACGGATTATTGCTGATCAGGGTCGGTGTTATAAAAGCGCAGACTTTAAACAATTCTGCAGCGATCATAACATGGAGCTTCACCTTACTGCTACTGGCTCTAGCAGGGCTAACGGCCAAGTTGAGCGGGTGATGAGGACTTTGAAATGCTTACTTACAATAGTAGAAAACGAAACCAATAAAACATGGAGAGACGAACTCCCGGAGGTACAGCTAGCTCTTAACTCGACGCGTTCTAGAGTAACCGGATATACACCAACAGAATTGATGTTTGGCATACGAGCACAGTCCTTGGGAATGTCTAGCATATTACCGCACTCAGAGCCCGAATCTCGTCTAGACTTAAACGCAATTCGTCAGGATGCATCTTCAAACATTGAAAAAACTGCCACTGCTGATACTATACGTTTCAACCGCGGTAGAGCAACAGTAAAACCTTTTATGCAAGGGGATTTTGTCTTTATAAAATGTAGCGAACGTAATCAAACGAAACTGCAACGAAAGTTTAAAGGACCTTTTGTTATTTCGCGAGTGTTAGATAATGATAGGTATGAGCTCAGGGACATTGATGGATCTAACAGAACTTATAAATATGCCCATGAAAATTTACGTGCCGTACCCGAAGGCTATAGTGGATTAGTTGAAGCAGCTACTATCTTAATTAATAATGCGGAGGAAGCCGAGACGGCGATCCACGGTCAAGAGAATGAGGGGGTACCATCTGACGATGATAGTGATACAATGTCTATAGCTAGTTCGCAAACTCTTACCGCTAGTTCGGGGACCCTCTCAGCCTCTGAGCGTGATGAAAACTAAATCGTAAGTTTACTTGATAGTAGAGCCTTGTTTAATGTTACTCTGTCATTTTTCTTAATATATGTGCTCATGTGTGACATACTGAAGTTAATGGGTTCGAGAAGTGTCTGGGCGTTAGAACTGGCTCATGCGGGTCGATGTTCTAAGACAGACTGTAGTAGAGTGTTTGTGGTGTTGTACTGGAGACGGTAATCGGTCAAGGAAACTGGCTTATGTAGGTCGATGTTTCGGATCAGATTACCGGTCGCGTATATGAAGTCTGATTGTGTTAGATGGTCGAAGGGACGCTGAGGGGTTGTCCGGTCTATGTCAGCATTGCGAATGTTGGCTAGTCGAAGGGACGCCTATGTTCAGTTATCCGGTCCATTCTATAGGTGAAATGGAAAGTCACACATGACATGAGACATAAAATTTTCGCAGTAACTATATTGAGTCAAGGATGAGCGAGCGTACTGGAAAAAACATGATGTTTTATCTTTGCAGATTAACTAGAACAGCGAGGTGAGAAGAGGCACGAGGGCGTGCTATCGTCAGTCCGGCCGTGACGGCGCATTGACATTTTTGAGAGTGACGTTTCGACACTCTGACACAACCCCGGGCGCTAGTGAGCATTAGCGTGTGAGTCGAGACGGACATTACTTTTGTCATTCGATTCGCATCGCATCGTTACATTACGTGTTCGGTGGAGTGTCTGTGTTTGAATTTTTAATTGAAATTAAGAACTGTTAAGAATTGTGAAGTGTTAATGAACAATTGTAAAAGGGATTATAATTAGTGATTATATTGTGTATGATTTGTGAAGCGTCGTTTTATTCTCTTCGTCCGTCAACTCACGTCTACCCACATTATAGTAATAATTATTGAATATGGAAACGATTAATAATGATGATAGAGGCCAAGTGCCTTTAAGTATTATATGATCTGTGGTATAGGTATAGTGTAAACATGTTGTGTAATAACAAATACTAATTTGAATAGTATTTCTATTCTACACTATTATGTACAATATACTCGTACTTAGTAGTAAAGATCTTACCTCATACTTAACTGTGTATTAAACGATATGCGGGTATAATAACATATAATGTGTATGAAAACCGTAATAATCATACATATAGTATGTTGATAATTTCTTGCTTAAATCAAATATTAATTCTAGTATTACAGTATTATTTACCAGCTGACTTTGTATCTATATGTATAATAAAATTCTAACTGAATCGAATCTGTACATTTAATATTGATCTTTCGTTTTCCCGAAGTTTCGAATGCTTTGCAGCAATTAATCATGGTCTCTCCCGTGACCATGATTGCTATAAAGCATTCGAAACGTCGGGAACCAAAAATCTAAATAAATCCACGAAAAAAAAACCGAAAAGATGTTTTATTTTAAATGTATTTTTATAAATGATTTTTTGTAATTTAAATAATAGAAAGCATTATTCTTATAGTTTTTACACTTCTAGTGAACAATTAGACCTGAATATTTTATTTTATTAAAACTTAATATCTTTAACAGTAACCGAAAAGACAAGATATTGACAGACGGATATATGTATGTATGTACTATATCAGGATCCTATAAGGGATCTCTTTTATGAGGCAAGGAACCTCAAAGGAGTTTATAATTTTTAGACATTACCATCCCAACTGTAGCTTCCCATTTTGAGGTTATATACAAGAACACTGCACAGCCCAAGACACAAATGGCAATTGCAAGCCATACAGCACCAGTAAAGGGTAGAGTGAAGATGTTCTCTAGAAGGGCAAGGGGAGGTTCTCTGAAAACGAATCGAACTGCCGTAGACCCCACCATGGCTATATAGTCGATGACTTTCATTCGCTCTTGAGTAAATATCGTTAGAGTACCTGGAAATTCATTTTCATTATTGAGGTTTTTCCTACTTCTGTAAAATATTACGGATGGTAATTCTAAAATCATGAATTATTATATTTTTATGTAAATAAACTTAAAAGCTTTTTATTGTTTTACTTATACATCTATACAGACAAATAAAATTAAAGTGTCTATTTGTAATGTCAAAATAAGAGCGTTTTACTAAATGCATATGAAATTGGAATATGGAAAATGGTTTTTGAAATAGTACTTACCTACTTAATTATGGCCAAATAGCATAAACAATCTTTTTTCATGATAGCTAAATAGAATAGTAAACTATAAATAAATATAATATTACATGAATTTACCAAGGTCAGCTTCCTTTTTCAAAAGATGATCGATAATCCCTTGCCAGTTGCCATTCTTGTCCTTATACCCCCATGTATGGGTAAAGATGCGTCTCTCTGTAGAGTTCAGCATTTCGAAGCATATTTTTACGACCATGTACGACATCTTTGATATAGAGTCTTGATGAAGATTTCTGGTCAAAATAAAATACAAACATTTATTTGGTAAATAAAATGATTTATATTTAATCTTGTAAACTAAAACTTTGACATGGATTTCTCATTGGGAATTATGTAACATATAGGTGTGAAAATGTTTTAATCGAAGATTACAAATATAAGATAGGTATATTTTAATTTTTTTTGAGCAGAACCCTAATTCTTTTTCTAAAATAAAAGTAGCCTAAGTTACTCCTTATAACATCAGCTATCTGCTGGTGAAAGTTCTGTCAAAATCGGGCCAGCCGTTTGGAACAAATAGACAGACAGGCAAAAAATTTAAAAATTGTGATTTTCGCATGTAACATATATAATTTCACATGCATTTAGTAAAAAGCTGTTACTTTAACATTACAAACAGACACTTCAATTTTATTTATCTGTGTAGATAAGCTCTAAGCCTCTAAGCTGCCATTCTCAATAAGTTACCTTTAAAATAGAGAGAAAATGACTTTTATACTAACACGTAAAACAATGGTTGATAACAATCAGGAATTAGAGAAAGAGGAACAGAACTCTCGACATGATATTTATGTCAAATTATTAAATATTTATCGCATACGAGAATCGAATCCGATATTTACGACTTAGTAATAAGTGGAGAAATTGAAAAGTGAGAAATATGCGGTATAAAAGTACACTTACAATCTATCATCCAAATGCTTTCTAGTTTCATTACTATCAGTTATAACGTTGACCATGGTTAGAGGGTGTTTTCGTAAGTTCTTGCGTCTTACGGAAATAATTTTAGAGTCCCTATAATCCTCGATCACGCCATATTTGGTAAACTATAAATAAAATGAAAATATTATGTTCAAGTAGACTTCTAAAATCACTTACAAATCGTCAATTTAATTTAAAGAGCGTCAGTCAGTCAGTCCGTGAGGAAGCTACCACCGGCTCGAAAAGCAGTTTCGATGGGACAGACCGACGAAAAACTTAACAATTGCTTTTTTACAATCGAGATTTATTATCGAGTTACATTTGATTTATTCTATTAATTTAACATTAAAGATAGCCCGCATATAATAAAAAACAAAGTACCTAGTTTCTATATATCAAGAAGAATACATATAATTCTTTGTTTTGTACATTCTATTTTCATTGTGCCGACTGTAATATTAATTACTGTAATAATAATATTTGTAACACTATGGTAAATTATTTCATTTCACAATTCGACGGTTTCACTCCGATAGACTATAATCTACCGAAAAATAATACGCTAAATTGTAAACAGTATATTATAGTAGGGGAGCCCAAGAGGGGATTTTCTGTAGTTACTCGAGCGCGGCAGATTAACATAAAAGAGGTTACCTTGCACTCTATTGAGTACTTTCACCATAATATAAGTCTTCTATATAAAGGGGCGCGTCTAGGGAAGCCGATTAAAATATTTAAAAAAAACCGTCTCTGCCTCTTAGGCTTGTGCAAATCGGCAGATTATTAAATTGGACACTTTTCAGGATGTGACTAGCCTACCACACCTTAATCTGACGGTTTCAAGTATTTCTACCTTATCAAAACATTTTTTAAATATTTTAATCGGCTTCCCTAGACGCGCCCCTTTATATAGAAGACTTATATTGTGGTGAAAGTACTCAATAGAGTGCAAGGTAACCTCTTTTATGTTAATCTGCCGCGCTCGAGTAACTACAGAAAATCCCCTCTTGGGCTCCCCTACTATTACGGTTCACAATCTTTCGACAGTTTACAATCTCGCCAGATAGATTATAATCTAACGGTATTTACAATTTTACGGTGACATATACATCAACTTTTAGTATCAGACTTTTTACTTCCTCATTATTTGTAATTTTATGCCTATTTTGACTATTGCAATTCAACTTCCAGGCGGACACCTGCTCCGCACTATCATATAATAAAATTCTGAGTCGAATCTGTACATTAAATATTTTTTGGAAAATCTTATTCAAATAGTCATTATTATAGATATAGAGGCCGAATCTATAGTCTTTAGAATCTTTATTCTATCTGTTTGTCTGACTGGGAACGAGAAAACCATTGCACAGATTTTGATAAAATTCGATATGATGATTATCCTTATGAGCTGGTTATCCAGGTCAACATTTGTGGTAACTTTTTAATGCGGGAATATATCTTATCTCTGAGAAATCTATATTAAACGTTAATATAGATTTCTCAAAAATAATATTAACTTAGAAAATAAAATAAAAATAAAATTCGACCAAAACTAAATTTCAAATATATTTTTTTCTGAATAGGAAATGAACCCCGAAATTTTATATACGCAATATGCATGCTTTACATTCAAAACTAATTATAATTATCAAGTTTAAATATGTAAAAACTTTATTTTTAATTAAAGGAAGTATAGCTTTTATATTTGCATACAAGATAAGATTAGGACAAGTGCAATATCAATTTTAATTAATTAAAAATCTAAAGCGCAATTCGAATTGACAATAAGATTAATTAATATAAAGTAATAATAACTATATTTTTATTTATAACTAGCATTGCCCGCGGCTCCGCCCGCGTTCAGATGACCAAAACCAAATTCTTAGGTTTTACATATTAGTATACTCTTAAATTGCAGTTTTTGTGTTTTTTCTCAGAAATAAGATATTTTCCCGCAGTAAAAAGTATCCTATATGTTGACCCGGATAACCAGCTATCACCATACCAAATGTCATCAAAATCTCTCCTGTGGTTTTTCTGTGATGCGGTAACAGACAGACCGACAGACAAAAATTCTAAAACCTATAGATTCGGCCTCTGTATCGATAATAATGCTTATTGCAATAAGATTTTCAAAAAAATATTTAATATACAGATTCGGCTTAGTTACAATTTTATAATATGTATAGATTTGTTCGCAGTTCGCACTTTTTAGTACTTGCAGTTGTTTGAAGCTTTTGTTCTTTATAGTGCCGATATTGGTGTTGTAGAAAGTTTTGTAATTAAAAAGTTTAAATCGTTTCCACGTGCTAAAATATTTAACTGAAAATCTCACAATTTCATAAAATCTCATTTACCTATCTCAAAATTTCATAAAAACATGAATATATTTATTGCTCAAAAATATACCTATATAGTTATCTTTTTTTCATTAGTGAAGTATTAATTGGAGACCAATCTTTCTGATAAACTTATTAAAAATCATGAACATCGGTCCACAACTAACGAAGACCCGTAACATAAACAAAAAAAATACACCTGATTTTAAAAGTTGGTCAACAATAAGCTATTCTATAGAAAAGTCCTTGAAGTTCGACCAGAGTTGTTTGCAAATAGAAAAACATAAAAATCTAAAAACTTTAAAACTGTTAAAACTTTGAATGGGAATTTAAATATGTAATTAAGAAATACTTACATACCTAAACCCCAAAATTACCTACTTAGATATATATATATATATATATATATATATATATATATATATATATATATATATTAATTTTATCATTTTAAACGTGTTACTACTTTATTTAATGTATTCATAATTAATATTAAAATAATGATTTCAAGAAAAAATATAGATCAAAAGATTTTATTTTAGAAATGTTACGGTCATTACCATCACATTTTTTCTAATCGTGTCCTCTTTCATATAAACAGATGTATTTCCCCGTGTTTCTATGAATATTTTCGGACTGTCCAGGTTTTTTTGTTCATTGGCTGGTCTCCAAGCGCCTCTTGTAGAATAAATAACATCTGAGCTCTCCGATATTTTATATGCTGTAAAAACAACGTGTTGTAAAGATTTATTTTGGTTTTGACTGTTAACCATTATTTACAAAGTATATAAAGTGTTTAGTTTATAACAAACACTAGAGACTCGTTCGTCTCTAGGTTGATTTCCCGTACAAACTTTCATTCCCATTTTCACCTTCTTAAGGGATGATTTTCGGAATAAAAAATATTCTATGTCCTTCCCAGGGTGTCAAACTATCTTCTTACCAAATATCATCTAAATCAGTTCAGTAGATCCAGAGATTACCCCCTACAATGGCCTGAATACATACAAATATGTACATACATACTTAAAAAGAAAATTTATTGTTTTGTTTCTACGAGTATGTATGGAATTAAATCAATATTATTTGTTTACCTCAACTACTATCTATACATATAATAAAATTGTAACTAAGCCGCATCTGTACATTAAATATTTTTTGGAAAATCTTATTGAAATATACATTATTATCGATACAGAGGCCGAATCTATAGTTTTTAGAATTTTGGTCTGTCTGTCTGTCTGTTACCGCATCACTGAAAAACCACTGTAAGGATTTTGATGAAATTTGGTATGGTAATAGTTGGTTATCCGGGTCAACATATAGGATATTTTTTACCGCGGGAAAATGTCTCATTTCTGAGAAAAATACAAAAATTGCAATGTAAGAGTATAGTAGTACGTAAAACCTAAGAATTTGGTTTTTGGTCATCTGAACGCGGGCGGAGCCGCGAGCAATGCTAGTATTTTATAAGAATATTTTTAGTTTTTACTTACGATCGGAGTCGCGGGTGATAACTAGTTGTTTATAAAATTGCATATTACGCCTCAAAATGATGAGGCCTTATTTAAATGTAGGTAATTTATGTAAAGTTAAATTAAAGTACATGTTTGTCAATGTTTACATAAATTGTATCAGACTTAGAAGGACATTTCATAATGAGTTTATTCCGATTCGACGACTTTACTCCAACACCTAATATGGATTTAGGAGTATTTCTTTAAGGCTAGTGCATATTTCAGTCATACTTTCAAGATATTTTATACTTTCGTAATCAGAAAAAAGATGCATAGAGATTCCGTGACTTCAACCGCGTTCAATCTACAAAAAAACTCTTTGGCTTTATGTTCTTATACAAGCAAAGAGTTTATATATAAATTATATATAATATATATACTTGTAGTTTTACAATAATGTATGGAAGTTTTTCGATTTGTTGACATTTATGATTACTGCGCCGCTCCCTTGAGTATTAGCATGATGATATATAACTTATAGCTTTTCTCAATAAACGGGCTATCGAATGCAAAAATAATTTTTCAAATCGGATACGTAGTTCCTGAGATTAGCGCGTTCAAAAAAGAAAGTAACAAACAAACAAACAAAGAAACAAACATATGCTGTATCTTTATAATATTAGTATAGATTAGAAAAACAGGTGATTCATTTATACTTAATCTATACTAATATTATAAAGAGACAAAGTTTGTGAGATTGTGAGATAAATAATCTCTGGATCTACTGAACCAATTTAGATGTAATTTGGTAAGAAGATAGTTTGAGATCCTGGGAAGGACATAAGATACTTTTAATCTTGGAAATCATCCCTTAAGGGTGTGAAAATGGGGATGAAAGTTTGTATTGGGAGGCATCGCTAGTTACTTATATAACTTCACGCTGTATCCATGGCGGGACAGAGTGCCAAACGCTACCATCTCTACATAGTACAGTCTTCTACTTCTTCCATTGTTGTAAATCGTTTGGGCACGTGCTTTTATTTGTTTTATACATTTGAGTGTAATATTTCTAAGCTTTTTTCTACTTATGTAAATTAATTTTTCTACATATCTATTATGCATTAGATTTACTCGCTTCTTAGCTCGAATGTTATATTCGTTATTAAAAAACTTGTATTAATCCATGACATAAGGCATCTTTATTCCGAATTAAAATCTATCGAGCTGTACAGACTTATGCACTCTCTGACACATACATTTTCGTATTTATAATGTCAGTGTAATTAGAAAACATAAAATTGATAATTTTAGGGTATTTACTTTGTAGTTATAGTTATTTTATGTACATGTCTGTACCTACTCTTATTATAAGATCATATAAGAAAAACGTAACCTTAAACAACACTTCTCGACATCTTCAAATCCATGATACTTCGAAACGTCGGGAACCAAAATGTAGGGGGTAATCTCTGGATCTACTGAACCGATTTAGATGAAATTTGGTAAGAAGATAGATTGAGACCCTGGGAACTACACAGGATACTTTTTATCTCGGAAATCATCCCTTAAAAAAACCGCGACAAAATCCGAAAAGTCCAAAAGATAGTTTCGTTTTAAAAGGTTCAGTCATTTTTACTGCAGCATGTTATCAAATTTACAAGAAGTTTTTTAATTAAATACTAGAACAGTTTCTAATATATGTGAAAATCGTGTACACCGACCTTTATATTATTTGAGTGTAGTAGAGAATTAAGTGAGTAATTGCTCAGATTATTCAAGTTCCATAAATGTGTGTATGAACGAGTGTTTTTAAAATGGCTGTGGCGTGGAGTATGACTGATTAATTAATAATATCTGCATAAAATTTTAATATTCTTAAGTAATTAAGGTTAAAGTTAAGTTGAATAAATAATTTACTCGCTTTCCTTCGGTTCTAATCATTTAAATTCCAAATTATTACTCTGATTTCTTATTAAGACGACACGTTTGGCTCAGTTTGTAGTGACGTTACTTCGAGTGCTAGCGGTCGCGGGTTCGAGTCCCGCTGAGGGCATTCATTAGTGTGATGCACGAATGTTTGTACTATAGTATACGTATGTATTTAAAGTTATATACGTGTAGTGTATCAACTATCTGGTATCTATAACACAAGCCTCGTAGCTTACCATGGAACTAGATGGTGCTGTGTGTTATTGTTCTAACTTATTAAAATAAAAAAATGTTAAGAAACATTTTTTTACTGCAGACGCCATTTGAATTTTTTCAAAGTAGCAGTAGAATATAATACGCAATACGTGTCCGGTATATATTATGTCGCGTTTCCGAAACATTTAGGGACCAAAATTCGTTGGCTCACTATTATGGTTCTATGTGTCATTAGCTACAGTTTTGCAAAAACAAACCACTAGATAGCGGCACTTCAACTACAAAATATTCAATTTTACATAGTTCTATGTTTTTTTCACGATAACAAAATAACGAAGTTCTATGTGAAATTACTAAACTTCATTAAAATTAACATAGAACCTTGTAATAGTAAGCCAACGAAATATCACCCTTGAAAAATGCTAATTATTATTTGAATGTAAATTTAAGTACCTGTATTAAGTTAATAATTAGTTATTTTTAATATTATCGTCAATTTAATTTTGCACTGCCTCGTTTGTATGACAGTTACTATGAATGAAGTACGGCTGCAGATTCAAAAGTCTTGGGTTGGTCCATTACACCCTATATGTCTCGGGGAGAACATAAATCCGTCATTCCTATATCTAATCTCCCGCGAATAGTGTCGAATTATCGTTCCGTCGGACTTTCAAAATGATAGGAATATTTTAGATAAAAACTATCTTTTCGGATTATTTCGCGGAGAGTCTCTCCCGTGACCATGATTGCTGTATAGCATTCGAAACGCCGGGAACCAAAAATCAAAATAAATCCGCGAAATAATCCGAAAAGCTAGTTTTTATTTAAAATGTCAAATATTCGCGTAAATCTAAGAAAGTATTAGGATAGGAATATAAAATACAATAATTGTGTCTGCGCGCACACAAGTGTATTATAATATCTCCTGCGCACATTGTCAGTCTCAGTTAATCGTTAATCAATTAAAATTGATTGTATCGATAACGTTATTAATTAAATATTTTTATAGTTTTATTAATCAAAAACATCACTGTTGCTTACACCATAAATAATATTTTATATAAGATCTGCATGTGTAATACTTAATAGGGATTTATTTTGGTCCTTTTTTACATCCCACTGTTGGGCACGAGCCTCCCTTCAATGTAAGGGGGATCAGGCCATAGTCTACCACGCTAGCTAAGTGAGGTCAAGTGAGGCACAAGTCTTTCGAAAACTTGTCAGCTCAAGTGGTAATCATGTAGGAAGTGATTCTCAGATGAAAATATCAGAGCTGTGAGATCTGGGATTTGAAACCGCTTCACTCGGTTTCTCAAGTTAGCGGGTTAAATAGTCTACTTTTGTCTCCACTGGGATACCATAGTCTAGAATATAACATTGACAACAAATAGTTGTCAGTTTTACCTTCTATTAGTTGAAAGTTTTCTTCATTGACCTTCTTAGCAATAACCACATCACTATTAAGTGGCATATTGAGCTTTTGAAATAGATCGAATTTATAAGCTCCTACGTCTGTATCCAAGATTAGCCATCTGTAGGGAGATTTAAAATATTCCTCATTGCTGGCCTAAAAATAAAGCAACTAGTTTAAGGAAATATATACCTATCCTTCTGATGAAAAAAAATTCAAATAAGTTCAGCTATATATGTTACTTTTTTCAATATGAAAAAACCCTTAAGGTATAAATAGCATAATATCTATCTTCTATAGTATAATAAAATGCTAAGTCAAATCTGTACATTAAATATTTTTTGGAAAAGCTTATTGAAATTGTCATTACTATCGATACAGAGACCGAAGCTATGGTTTTTAGGATTTTTGTGCCTGTCCGTCTGGGAACGCATCACGTGAAAACCACTGGACAGATTTTGAAGAAATTTGGTATGATGATATCTGGTTATCCGGGTTGTAGGATACTTTTTACTGCGGGAAAAAATCTCATCGCTGAGAAATCTATACCAACCGTTAAAACGTATCTAGGGATGAAACCGAGCAACGCGAGGGTGTGTCACTAGTTATATAATAAATCTTGTGTGATCTAAAACCTTAGTCTCCACCGTGACCGTGTATAGCTAAAAAACTTAAAAAAAAACCGACTTCCAGGCACTAAAATGTAAAAAATAACTAAACGGGGGTTTTCATTTAGAATAGATACTTAATCAGATATTTTCGAAGTCGGTGCCAGCCGATGCATAGGAAATCTAGTATATTTTGATACGTAAAATACATATTTACCTATTAGATATTCATATCTTAAAATATTGTCCGCTGGCACCGACTTCGAAAATATCTGATTAGGTATCTATTCTAAGTGAAAACCCCCGTTTAGTTATTTTTTACATTTTAGTGCCTGGAAGTCGGTTTTTTTTAAGTTTTTATTTTTATAATTTTAGTGTAGATGTAATAAGCAGGTAACTTGTAGGAAGAAAGTTTTTAATAACATATTCGATTAAGCAATTTGCTTAAAAAAAATTTATTGTTGATTTTTTTAAAAACCGCTCGCACGATTTCGATAAAATTTATATGGGATCACCTGGGAAGTATACCCTTTCAAACAAAACAAAAAATTTCCAAATCGAGTAATCGGTGAACATACATTAAAAGAAAGATTCCGACGAATCGAAAACCTCCTCGTTTTTGGAAGTCGGTTAATAAAAAGCATTCAAGACGTCGTCAGGAACCAAAGACCAAAATAAAACTGCTACAAAATCCGTAAAGATAGTTTTACTTATAAAATGTCTAATATTCGTGGAAATTTAAGAAAGTAATAAATATCAATTACCTTAATCAAAAATTGTTCTATGCCAGGACAAGACAAGTCAGCCAACATAACAATTTGATGTAGAAAGTACTCCGTTCTATTTATCTGAAGCAACGGCGCCAAAAACACGTTTTCGTTGAATAATTGCCGCGCAAATATTTTTAATTCGCCTGCAAAATTTCATTAATATTAAATGATATATATTTTTATTGATTCTTGATCGATGATTAATGTTACCTGTTATAAAATAAGTGGTCTAGATTTTTAAGTAGCAATAACATATTTATTACTTAGTTACCTAAAACATTTTGCGAATGTAAAAAAAGAATAAAATAATAATTATTATCTATGAGAAGTGGGACATTAAGATATTGGTGCTTATTTTTCTGATTCAGTGAGTAATTTATTTGGTCATATTAATCTAGTTTGCGTTATGTACTTTATCATATTTTATAGGAAAGAAAAAAAAACCCGGCGCCTTTAGATAAGATGACGTACATCAATCGTTGAAGGATAGACATTTTAAAAATTATATTGGAAAGGAAAATTTAATCCCAATGTCATATATTATCTATACATATAATAAAATTGTAACTAAGTAGAATTTGTACATTAAATATTTTTTGGAAAATCTAATTGAAATAAACATTATTATCGATACAGAGTCCGAATCTATAGTTTTATAATTTTTGTCTGTCTGTCTGTATGTCTGTTACCGCATCACGAGAAAACCACTGGTCTGATTTTGATGAAATTTGGTATGATGATAGCTGGTTATCCGGGTCAACATATAGGATACTTTTTACCGCTGGAAAATATTTCATTTCTGAGAAAAAATACAAAAACTGCATTGTAAGAGTATACTAATGTGTAAAACCTACTAGGCCTTTGCGTCTATTCCAGACGATTTATGGTGCAATGTTGGAGATACACCTCTTTTGGTGGCTGTATAGACCGATGCGAGAGCTACATGTCCTACCGCAGACCTGACAGGAGAAGTTTGCGACGGATGGTACTGAGTCGCCTTGACGTCGTCTTTGTCTCTTTTTAGCAAGTGTCGCGAACCCGGTCTCATCGCAGAACTTGCGACCCTCCATAATACTTTTGCGCCACTCCGTTCGATTTTCTGCAAGTCTTTCCCAGTTTCGGTGGTCAATTTTAAAAGTAACCATGTCTCTCTTGGCGCAGTCTTTAAAGCGAAGCAGTGGCCTCCCTACGTTTCTTTTTGCGTTCGCAATCGCACCAAGAAGTACACGTCGTGGTAATCGAGACTGTTCCATTCTGTGCACATGCCCGAGCCAGCGCAAACGTCTCTGTTTTAGAAGCGCGGTCAAACTAGGTAGTTGTGCAATTTCTAGAACTCTCTCGTTTGTCACCCTGTCTTGCCATGAGATGTCCAAGATTTTACGAAGGCAACGCATGTAAAAAGAGTTTATTCGACGTTCGACCTTTGCATACGTTGTCCAGGTTTCAGCTCCGTACAAGAGTATGCTTATAATGGAGGCTTGAAAGACTAACACTTTGGTCTTGGTGGTTAGATATTTGTTTTGCCATACTCTAGTACTAAGCTTCCCGAACATGGTCGCTGCTTTACCGATGCGAATGTCAACCTCTGCATCCAGCGACAGATTGCTCGTTACGGTTGACCCTAGGTAACAAAATCTGTCAACTACCTCTAGCAGCGTACCATTGAGCGAAATTGCTGGGGCCTTAGAAGTGCCTTGTGCTAACACAACTGTCTTCTTTGCGTTTATGGACATGGCGAACAGGGAACAAGCCCGTGTGAATTGATTCACCATATACTGGAGCTCACGTTCGGAATGAGCAACGAAAGCCGCGTCATCGGCATAAAGAAGGCTATCGATGAAAAGATCCTCGCGGCTTCTTTTGGATTTGAGTAGTGAGATGTTAAGCATCCTTCCATCGGTTCTTGTATGTAGATGTATACCCTGTTGATTTTCGTCAAAAGCGGTGCGCAATATGAGCGAAAAATATATACCAAACAGGGTAGGAGCCAAGACGCAGCCCTGTCGAACACCTCTGGAAACATCAAACGGCTTAGATGTTTTACCGCTTAAAACTACTGTGCCCTTCATGTCTTCATGAAAAGATGCAACCAGTCTCAGGAGTTTAGGCGGGCACCCAATACTCTCAAGCGCCGTGTACAAGCCCTTTCTGCTGACCGTATCGAAGGCCTTATTAAGGTCAACGAAAGCTACTACTAAGGGACAGTTTTGTTCTCGACACTTCTCCTGTATTTGGCGAAGTGTGAAAATCATATCCACTGTCGAACGGTTGGAGCGGAAACCACATTGTGACTCAGGATAGATACGTTCAGCAAGCTTTTGGAGTCTTGATAGAACAACTAGACCAAAAAGCTTTCCAACTATGCTCAAAAGAGAGATACCGCGAAAAATTTGTATAATGTGATGATGTTAGCGTCCCGCATATCCTGAGGCACATGCCCCGCTTCCCAACATTTGCACAATAGATTATGCAGGATTGGTTTCACACATTCGAGCTTTAATATTTCAGCATGGATGCCGTCGCCGCCGGGACTCTTACCGCGCTTAAGCCGATTGACAGCCTTGGTGAAATCCTCTACAGACGGTAGATCATCTAACTCATTCAATACACCCAGTTTTGGTATGCTCTGTGTCGCCTCCGGATGTATGATTACTGGACTTGAGTAGAGATCGGTATAGTGCTCGACCCAACGATCAAGCTGTTTTTGGCTGTCAACAATGACAGTGCCATTTGCGTCCTTTAGAGGGGCTGTCTTTTTTGAAACGGGTCCGAGAACGCGTTTAATACCCTCATATACACCACCTATGTTTCCACTGTCCGCACACATCTGTATATTGCGACCAAGATCCGACCAGTATAAGTTGGCAAAGTATCGTGTACTTCGTTGAAGAGAAGTTTTAGCTGTTCGAAGTGCTTTATCAGTTACTGGACAGGGATTCATACGGTGCCTAAGTGCGGCATTCCGCTTTGAGTCTAAAAGAGGTTGTAGGTACTCAACGTTGTCCTCGAACCAGTCTTGAGACTTGGTCCTCACACATCCGAAAACCTCAGTGGCGCTATCAGTCAGTAGTTTTTTTGCTTTATTCCACTCGACGCCTATCGGTGTATTGGCATCCCAATCAGCAAGTTCTTTATTTGCCAAGCACTCAAACTGTCGGACTTTTTCATCATCACGGGTATTAGAAAGATTTATCTTCCTTCTACCCGGCGTTTTAGATGAATGTATCCTTTTATGAGCTATGGCAACTTGTGCTGCTACCAGAGAGTGGTCGGTGTCACAGTCAGCGCTATGGAATGTACGAGTGTGAAGGAAATCGCGGAGGTCTTTGGATCTCGTTAGTATCACGTCTAATTGATGCCAGTGGCCTGATCGCGGGTGCTTCCAAGACACTTTTCGGGACAGCCTGCCCTTAAAATATGTATTGGTTACGCATAGCAGGTATTCAGAACAGAACTCCAGTAAACGTCGGCCATTGTCATTAATATTGCCGATTCCATGGTAACCAATACAATCAGGCCATGCGGAATGATCCCGTCCCACCCGGGAATTGAAGTCACCCAAGATGTACAGGCGATCACTACTAGAAACAGTTTTCACCGTCTCGGTCAGTTGGTTATAAAAATACTCTTTTGACTCGTCCGAAGATTTTAATGTCGGAGCATAAGCAGCAATCAGGGTAACATGACCGAGACTGCTCTTTAGTCTTAAGACCATTATGCGTTCCGAAACGCCGCATAGAGTTTCAATGGCGGAAAGTATATCGTTTCGGACCGCAAAACCAACACCGTGTTCACGAGCATCGCCAAAGTCTTTTCCTTTCCAAAAGAACTTGTAAGAGGACTCCTGCAATGAGCCTTCGTCGGGTAATCTGGTCTCTTGCAAAGCGCATACAGAGATGTTAAGCCTGCTCAGCTCTGCATCTATCACGGCAGTTTTACGCAGATGTTGTGCATATCCGTAACCTCCACAGGTGTCCGGGAGGCCTGTCCTCATAGTACGGACATTCCATGTTGCAATGCGCATGGCTTGGCGAGGCGGGTTTTTATAAAACTGCTTTGTAAAACCAGGTGTGGAAGTTAACGACACCAGCCGTCTAGCCAGGAGCTAGTGCTCCCTACACCTCAAGGGAGCAAGCTGGCAACGGGACGGATTGGTACCTTATTGTCCGGGGGCTGCCCAGATTGAAGCGGGCGGTAACGTTCAAAGTCCTGAAAAATTAACTTTTATTTTTTGGCATAAAAGTTAATCCACGCCATAAAACTTAAAACCATCAGACTTTAATCGTTATTACAAGTTAACGACAACAAATTAAAAGTTAACTAAACTACATTCTAGCTGAAAAAAAAAGTTCCTTCATACTCTTCATATATAATATAGTATTTTTACGACCACTGACATCATATGGATAAATCCACATAAATAGATTTTGGTTTGCTGATGAGTATGAGCTGTTTTAGACATTGATTTCGCATTCGTAGACATTGAGTTCGCATTAATCACACTGTCTACCTAAAATAAAGGTTGAAGCATGTACATACATATATGAAATTAAATGGGGAAATAAGTGAAAAATAAAGATGATTACCGTGGCGTAGTGGTTAATGGTACATAAGAAGCACTACCTGGTATATACCAGAAGCCACGCACTCTCTTTAACGTTCGGCAATCCCACTGGATTGCTCGAATGGGGCGTAAACATAAAGAACACTGGAGGCTCACCTCGGTAGGCATACGGGGGTCCAATCGATGGGTCTTCGATGGACCCTCCCACTGTCGAAAGTGACCCCTAGCGCCTGCACTTACGCCCATCTGTGCAAGACTTATAACTGGTAACTGCCACTTCCCGTGTTGTTGTCCATACAGCTACGCTGCCGTGGGTGGAGTGACCTCTCCACAGACATTACACCGCCTGGGACGGATTTAAGGAAACACAGGGAAGCCCAGCACCTGCATTACCCTCTCGGCCTCGTTGGCTTATCCCACAGGAAAGGCGAGCCAATACGTGTGGAGCCAAGTCGGCTGCAGAAATCTGCCGCATATTTCGGGTTGGACCCTACTCGCGTCTTACGGTGATTCCGCTCCGGGTTTTATTTTGGAATTTTCCTTCTCCTAGATGGGTTGCAAACCAATGCTTAGAGGCCCATCTCCCCTACACTGAAGCGTAGATAATAGCTTTGTTTGTTTATGGACTTAGTCGCCTTTTACGACACCCTCGTCCTTTGTCAGGGTTGGTGCTATTCTTGAGCCGAACACCACACGGCTAGTAAAACCTAAGAATTTGGTTATTGGTCATCTGAACGCGGGCGGAGTTGCGGGCAATGCTAGTTCATATATATTTTTTATGATTTTTTTATCATCCAACGATTGTATAGTGACATCTTGCTTAAGCCCTATCATATAAAGCATATATGTATACATAAGCAAACATAAATACTCTTTCTTGACTCGTTAACGCTTTATTTAAATATTAGAGTATTCCTATGGCTCTACCGCGTAGAGCCTATATTTTTGTATAATTATTTCGCTCCTAAAGAGTAATGCGTGATGAAAAACAATCAATAATCTTCTTAATAGCCTAACTTGTTTTTTTTTAAATTGCACTGGTACTTTAATTAAAGCATTAAAACCAATAACAAAATAAACTTTTCTGTTCTATATATTCGTATAGATTACACAACTTAATAATTTATGTATGTGACATGCGACATTACCACATTTCCCAAGAGAGCCCACAGATTTTTCCAAAGATTTCGAATTAATCACTTACTTTGGCTCCAGCATAATTCCGGCGTTAGCAAAGACGTCGGCGTGTCTTCATATAGAACAAACGATGTTACTAAGTCCTTAATATTTGCATCTAAACAACTAATACTGTATATAACAAAGGGAAATAGAAGAGGGCATGATTTTTTAAACCTCATGTTTAAGGATTTTCAACAAAATGACCAGTTTGAAGACGCTTTTAAAGACACCAAAGCTTACAATCTACATAAAATATGAGAAGTGACATGAAAAGTATAATATAATTTTTCATATTTTGTACTGTTATGAAGAAAATAAATAAAAAGATTTTGTATAAAAAGTAGTCTGATATGTACCTATTCTCTTAAGTCATAATACACGTACATAATAACCTAGTGTTGACTCAAACATTTGACCAATAGCTGTTAAATAATACCTATCTTATGTAATTGGGATTTGGACTACTTTTTTTTAATACATTTTATTTATATCTAGTCGTTGTACTGACAGAGTAATTTCAATCTTGTATTTATTTATGTTGATTCGTAACACTTTTTTCTTGACTGTACTAAATATTTAAGGCATGGATTGTCAAACTTCTTTACCGATAAGTTGTATATTTTTTTAACTGACTCAATAACCGAACGCTAGTTAAAAAAAAATATAAAACATAAAAAAATAATTTACCTGTTTGTTTGTATTTCAAAATTCATTATCCTTTTGCATATACTATAGACTATTTATAGAAAAAGAGGCGTACGAGTTTTATAAAATGTTAATAATAAAAACAGGCAGTGGTAGCCCAGTGGTAACGCACTCGCTTGGGAAACCGAGTGATGCGGGTTCAAATCCCGGGTTTCGTACCTCTGATATTTTTATGTGCGAATCATTTATAGCATGTTTACCACTTGCCTTACGGTGAAGGAAAACATCGTGAGGAAACCAGCATGTCTGAGGGAACTGAGCAAGTTTTCGAAAGATATGCGAAGTCCGCCAACCCGCACTTGGCCAGCGTGGTAGACTACGGCCTGATGCCTCTTGTATTGAAGGGAGGCCCGTATCCAGCAGTGGGACGTTAAAAAGGGCTCAATACATACAATAAAAATGTTCTCAAAAATGGAATTTTCTCAACAACAAAAAAGTTAAGGGCCTCGACTTTGACGCCATCTGGCTAACGAATAACATATTCTGTTTAGGCTTAACGACACGCCCATACGACATTATCCTACTTACGCGCAGTTAGCATGTCATTATAGCTTATACGAAAATATACTAGTAAAATCGTAATTTTGTTAAGCTTAGGGTCCCATAAGAAAATATATTTTTACTTCAACTCATATATGATAAGAAACCATTTTTATTTAGTTTACATTTTAATATATGTATGTATATGTATATTAGTTATTATTATACAAATAACTAGCGACTCAACCTCACTCCGCTCGGGTTCGTCCCTACTTACGTTTTAACGTAGGGTATAGATTTCTCAGAGATGAGATATTTTCCCGAAATAAAAAGTATCCTAATATATGTTGACCCGGATAACCAGCTATCACCATACCAAATTTCATCAAAATCTCTCCTGTGGTTTCGTTTTCCGTGATGTGGTAACAGACAGACAGACAGACAAAAATTCTAAAAACTATAGATTCGGCCTCTGTATCGATAATAATGTTTATTTCAATAAGATTTTCTAAAAATATTGAATGTACAGGTTCGGCTTAGTTACAATTTTATTATATGTATATATAATATCCTTCTAACCGATTTCGGCCATGGCCTATCTCACTGTGACTACACAGGAGATATTAAACACAAGTGTACGCTCAGACACAAGTGCACTCTCTATTCCTTTTACTCTATTATATTCCGGTGCGACGACATTTTGTCACGACGGGTGAGAGATCAGGAGCAGGACCGACGGCTTTGTATGCTCTTCTATATTTACCTTTTTTTCTCAAATCTTTTTCTATGCACAAACAAAGTTTAGATGATAGCTATTATAATACACATGACAATGTGCGTGTGCGTGTGCGTGTGCGTGCGTGCACGTGTATTTATATATATGTTTTATTACAATTAATATCAGATATACTGCATAATAATGACTGATATATTTTCTCGATAGCTCTTATAGTACAAGATAGGATGTCCAATTGTTCTTCCTGCATCTGCTGATGCAGATGAGTAAGGTTATTTTACTCCAGATCCTCGACTATACTTAATACGTTTACAGCAATTAATACGTATGTATACTTCTATAACACCATATATAGTAACATTTTTTCCGTGTATATGAAGGCTGTGGTCAACTATGTCAATTTTGTTGTAGTTTTGATACGATTGAGCAACGAATGTAGACCAATGAATCATATTGATTGAGTGTTTCCCGTTACTCTTAAATCATATGCGACATAAGTATCGCTGACTCTATTAATAAATTAAACTAACACTAGTATTTAGCAGTGGTAACGCAGTGGTAACGTGCTCGCATGAAAAACTGAGTGAAGTGGGTTCAAATCCCGGGTCTTGCACCTCTGATATTTTCATGTGCGAATAATTTCCAACATGATTAGGTACTACTACTACTTGCCTTACGGTGAAGGAAAACATCGTGAGGAAACCTGTATGTCTGAGAGAACCTAGCAAGATTTTAAAAGACATGTTACCGCACTTAGCCAGCGTGGTGGGCTATGGACGGATCCCCCTCGTATTGATGGGAGACCCACGCCCAGCAGTGGGATGTTAAAAAATGCTGAGCACAACATTCATGAATAAGACTTTAAGAAAATTTTATTCATTACTTAAATATTTTAAAGACCGCAAATTTATCTCCGTAATATTATACAACCAATGAGTCGTAATCATTTTATATTGAAGAATATTAAACGTATATCGACGGAGATAAGTAATCTATATGCAAATATAAAACTTGATCTTATACGAAGAACGCGATATTAAAAAGGAATATTTATTTAAGATACTTTATTATATAATAAGTATATTATGTTTTAATTGCTATACTAATTATAACTCCTCTTAGTACATACATACATGATGATGATGATGATGTTCTCCCGACCGATTCCGGCCACGGCGGCCAATCTCATTGAGACTAGCCAACTGCGCAGGAGATATTATAGTGCACAAGTGTACGCGCAGACACAAGTGCACTCTCTATTCCTGTCACTCTCATACTTCGGTGGGACGACTGCTCGACACGACCAGTGAGAGTTAAGGCGCAGGACCGACGGCTTTACGTGCTCTCCGAGGCACGGGGG